AAAAAGAAAGAAGGAATCTAGAAAGTGAATTTAAAAAAGAAAAAAACAGGAGCCGAGGCTGTGACTCGGTGTGTGCAAGGCTCTGTGCTTGATCACCAAGCACTAGAAAACAACAGTAGGAAGATACCACAACTGTGCACATAAATATGACAATTTAGATAAAATGTAATACTAATCCTTTAAAGGCCACAGGCTACCAAAATCCATCCTGAGAAAAAGGAGGATATAAACATACAATCTTATATGCATATTCATAAATACACTCACACACATTTCCTCCCCAATCCCTTTTGCCATGACTAAACCCAGGGCATCAGGTTTCGTGCATGCTAGGCAAATGCTCTGCTACTTGGCTGGGTTCCCAGCCCTGTAAAACTGTATTTTTCAAGAATTTGAATTTATACCTTAACATATCTCATTAGAGAAAACGTCAGGTTCAAAAAATAGGAAGAAGGCTGGTGAGATGGCTCTTCCAGAGCGCCAAGCTCTTTCCTGGACCAACGTGGCAGTCCACAGCCATGTGTAACTCCAGTTCCAAAGGCGTCTCCATCCCCTTGTGGCCTCCATGGGCACCAGGCACAGAAGTGGTGTTGCTGCACACAGGCAAAAGACTCACACACACAAAATGAGAATCTTTTCAGGAAAGCGAACGAGAAGGTCAGGAATGCCTCACAATGCATGTTAGAGGTTTAGCGGGATACCAAACCTAGCCGTAGGAAAGAATGGGCCATGGGGGGGCATGAACAGAAACAAAAATTCTCAGCAAATTTTAGCACAGTAAATCCAACGATGTATAAAAAGAAAAAAAGGCAACATAACCACTGGAACATAGCTTACTTGAGGACGACAGTGAATGTGACTGGAGTGATGACTCGATGGTTAAGAAAGAGCACTTGCTTCTCTTGCAGAGGACCCAGGTTCAGGTCTCAGCTCCCACAAACTGCCTCACAGTCATCTGTAATTCCAGTTTCACGGCATCTGGCACCATTTTCTGACTTTGGGCACACAGATACACGCATGGTGCCCATACATACTTGCAGACAAAACACCCATACACATAATAAAAAAAAAAAACCAGTTAATGTAGTTCAGGGCATTAATAAACTAAAAGGCAGAAATTATACAATTGTCAGTGAGTATAGAAAGGGCATTTGGCCAAATTCAACATCCATTCATAATTTTGGGGGAAAAGACTAGCAAACTAGAAACAGATGGGGCTTGCTTAACTGGATCCTGTCTACCCCAGAGAAGCAGCTGCTCTCCTGAGACCAGTGTCCATTCTCACCACTTCTACTCAGCGAAATTCCAGAAATCTACCTCCCATAGAGATTGAAAAAGGAAGAACTAAAACTTTTCCCACTCAGATGAGATAGTATCTATATGGAGAATCCCAAGGAACCAAAAAGAAAATCCCTAAAACAAAGTATAGGAAGATCACAGCACAAAACCCACAGCTCCAAATCATTCCCTTTATTATTTAGTGCGAATGCATGTGGTATTGCCTTATAGAAACAACTGCACTCCATCTACCAAAACTATACCAGAGTAATCTAGGCCATAGGTCTAATTATAAGACCTAAAGTTATAAACTAAGGAAGGATCTTGTGATCCTGGTTAAAGTTCTTAGATTTTGTTTTGTTAATAATTTGTGCTTTGTCAAAAACACTCTCATTTCCTCACTCACTTTGTTTGTGAGTCTCTGTCTGTCATATACAAAACTGACATCAAAGTCATGCCGTCCTTTTTGCTCAGCCCTCTAGTCCTGGGTTACAGGTGTGCATCATCACACCTGGCCTCAAAACCAGAAGGTCCTGCTCACTCCACAACCTCAATAAAGAATGTGCACCAAGAACATATGCATCTGGAAAGTTTAAACACCAAAGCTCAGCCGTGCAGTGCTGGCGCAGCAGACCTGCAGCACCAGTAGTAGAGTCTGGGGAAGGATCGGGTTTTTTCTTTATTCTCTCATACAATACATCCTTGTAGCAGCCTTTCTTGGACTGCCAACCAGCTTCCAAATCATAACATGGAGACTTATTAGTTATGAATGCCTGGTCTTATCTTATGCTTGTTCCACTAGCTCTTATAACCTAAATTAACCTGTTTCTCTTTATCTATGCTTTGCTTTGGGGCTTTTATTGTTCATTCTGTATGTCTTACTCTGTGGCTGACTGGTGGTTGCCTGGCTGGCCCCAGGCCTCTCCCTCTCTTTTCCCTCATTTTCTGAGTCTCTCACGCCTAGAGCCCTTCTCCTCCTTATTCTTTCTGCCTATCAGCCCCACCTATCCCTCTACTACTGTTCAGCTTTTTCTAGACCAATCAGGTGCCTTAGGCAGGCAAAGCAGCACATGTTTACATAGTTAAACAAATGCCACACATCTTTACATAAAGTAATATTCTGTTTCACAACACATCCTGACTGCAGTTTCCCCTCTCCACTCTTCCCAGCACACCCCAATTTTTCCTCTCCCCCAGATCCACTCCTCTTCTGTTTCCCTTCAGAAAGGAGCAGGTCTCCCAGGGATACCTAGTCAACATAGGATAGCAAGATGCAATAAGACTAGGCACAAACCCTCAAACCAGAACCAGGCGAGGCAATTCAATAAGAGGAAGAGTTTTAAGAGCAGGCAAAAGAGTCTGAGACACCCCCACTGTTAGGACTCTCATAAAAACAAGCTAGGAACCATGACATACATGCAGAGGACTTAGCATAGATCAGTACAGGCTCCATGATTGTCACTTTGCTCTCTGAGCCCATATGAACCTTGCTTAGTTGATTCTGTGGGCCATGTTCTCCTGGTGTCCTCAACCTTCCTGACTTCTACAGTTCTTCCTCTCCTTTCTGGAGGTTCCCCAAGCTCCAAGGTGAGGGACTCAGTGCAGATCTCCAGTTTAGGCTCTTTCTCTGCCTAGTGTTTGGCTGCGGGTCTTGACATCTGCTCCCATCTGCTGCTGGAAGAAGCCTCTGATGACAATTGACTTCTGATGACAATTGGACTGGGCACCGATCTGGTTCTCGTGATACTCCTGCTGTAAGAAGCCTGAACACCTGACTGCCCATAAAAGGAGCTGAGTCAAAGAATGTAGTCTTGTTTCCTCAGAAGATTCGTTTCTCTTTCATAGTTTTGCAAACAGAATCTTGACAGGGTAGTGGTGGTGCACACCCTTAGTCTCAGCATATGAGAGGCAGAAGCAGGAAGGTCTCTTGAGTTCCAGGCCAGCTAGGACTACACAAGTGAGACCCTGTCTAAAAGAGAGTGAGGGTGGGAGGGATCAAAATATAGAGATGGCTCAGTAGTTGAGAACATTTGCTACTCTTGCAGAGGACCTGGGTTCACAACTGCCTACAACTCCAGTTCCAAGAGATCTATTGACCTTTTGGGCTCTGTGGGTACAAGGCACCCTTGTGGTATGCAGGGGAAACATGAATACACATAAATATTTTTTTAATTTAAAGAAAAAAATCAAACAGGATCTCATTAACTTAGGCTGGTCTCTAATTTGCTATGTGTTCAAAGATGACCTTGAACTCTGATTGTCCTCCTAAGGGCTGGGATTATAGACATGCAGTATCATGTCTGTGTATGTGTGAGACTGTGTGTACAGGTTTATGTGGGTGTGTACACGTGGGTCAATGTTCTGAAGTCAGTTCTGTCCACTTTGTGGAGCTTCTTTCTTTTAAGATTTATTTATTACATATACAGTGCCCTGCCTACATGCCGGAAGAGGGCACCAGATTGAATTGTGGATAGTTGTGAGCCACCATGTGGTTGCTGGGAATTGAACTCAGAACCCCTGTAAGAACAGTCAGTGCTCTTAATCTCTGAGCCATCTCTGCAGCCCCATCGAGCTTCTTTCTTGTCTCTGACTGTACGCCAACCTAGCTGACCCAGGAGCTTCCAGGCAGTCTCTTGTCTCTATCTCCCACCTCCCTGTAGGCTTGCATGTGTGTGCGCGTGAGCACCTGTGTTTGCCACTACATCTGAGGCTCGGGTTGTCAGGCTTTCACAGCTAGAGGTTTTACCTGCTGAGCTGTGGGCCATTTCCTAAGCCCTGGAGTTCAAGACCATCTCTTAAAGATGAGAAAGAGAAAAACAAAACAAACAATAACAAAAAACAAGCACATGGAGTTTAGCGTCATTAGCCACTACAGAAATGCAAATTAGAAAATTAGAACCAGTGTGACAGACGCTGCCCCAGAACTAGTAGTGTCGTTTAGGGAAAGACATGGAGTAACTGTAAGTCCCACATGCGCACCACTGTGCGGACAACACTGAAGACGGGGTTTGCTGTTACTGTTTGTCTTTAGGAGACAGGATCTTGCTGTGTAGCTCGGGTAGGCCTCAGACTCACAGTGCCTCTGCCTTAGCTACCCTTGTGCTGAAATTGCAGGCCTGAGCCACCATACTCTGTAGCTGTCCTCCCAAGTAAGACGCACATTTACCATGTGCTCTCACTCCCAGGCATTGCCTAAGAGGGTAAACTGAGTATACACAAAACCCGCATAGGTGCTTGTAGTGGTTTGTTCATTGGAATGTAAATCATTGATCTAGAATGTAGTCTAGGGCACAGTCGCTCAGCAGATGGCAAGGTGGAGTCGCTCTGGATCTATGTGCAAAGCACACCTGCTCTAGCCCTGGCCATCTTCCCTGATTGTTCCATTGAACCTCTCCCAAGCTTGGTGCGGCTCTGCCATCTGCCACCCGGAGCTGACGAGCCTGCTCTCAGCTGACCTAGCTCCTTCAGCTTTCTTCTGTCAGTTCTGGGGGTGAGCCAATCAGTTGCAAGGATTGGGACAAGCATGGGTTTTCTGCCGAATGATGTCTGGAACTGGATTGGTCTCAGGGAACTTGTAGCCACTCGGAACTTCTTTGTTTCCCCATGTGACATACGATTATGAAAGGTGACTAACAGGAAAATTTAGACTGAAAGTAAAAAATGGTGTCACTCCTTTGTATATCTCAATGTTGATATGAACAAAACTTTGGTTTCTGTTTCAGATCACAAAAATGGACAGCATTTTATAATCCCTCAAATGGCAGACAGGTAAGGACCAGTCCAGTTTATCTGCCCAGCATTGCCTTGGTTTGCAGTATGCAAGTGTGTTATATTTTGTGTTTAACAGAGCCCATACATTTTTCTCTTTTATGGCTATACACTTTGGAAATAAGACGGCTGTAAGTAAACCACCGTGTGAAACTTAACTTGGAAAGAGCACAGATCCCAGATAGACTAATAAGGAGTTGCTGCCACTGTTTTGGCCAGTTGTCCTGGTATTTTGTATTGAGAGGTCATATTCACAGGTGTTTCTGTGTCGCAGGAGATTATATTCTTGGCCTACAACAGAGGTTGGCAAACAATTTTGTTAAAGGCTAGGAAATACGTTAAGTTCTGTGAGCCTGTCACAGTTGTCAGCTTGTCCTCTAGAGTCAGAGGACTCTTAAGATAATGGACTGGGTACTGAAACTCAAATTTTTAGATCTTGAGAAATGAATGGTCTTTTTCCTTCTCTACCCAAAATGTTTAAAATGTAAAAGCATCCTTCCTTCATGAGCTGGGCAAAAAAAAAGGCCGTAGCTTGCGGCCGCCCGCTATGGGGTGGGTGAGGTGGCTTCACTGTCCCAGCCATGCGCCCACAGCTCTCAGCCAGTGCTGCCAGAGTGCAGGGACAGTCACCGCTGTTCCGGCTGTGCTCTTGTCTGCCTGGCTCTTCAGTTTTCTTCTCCATTTTTCTTTTTATCTTTTGCTCTTTTTTTCCTCTGTGCTACGGATGGAACTCAGCAGCTCACACATTAGACAAACACTTAACCACACGCCAAGGCCTATTGATGAAGTGAACAGTAGTTTTTGTCATCCAGCTGTGGGGCAGCACCTTTTCTCTGTAGCATATTACCTGACTGCTGGGTTTCTAGGAGTCGCTGGCCAAACTGTTTCAGTCTCTTAGTGACTCTTTGGCTACAGATGCTTGGTTCCAGCGGTTCCATGAACCGTAGTAGTTTCGTCCCTTGGGCATCTTAATCTTATAGAGCACTCACAGCTTCTGTTTACTTGCTTAATGGTTTGTGCATTTCCTCAGCAGCCTGGATGTATCTGAGTTGGCAAAAGCTGCCAAGAAGAAGCTTCAGTCTGTGAGTATCTCTTCCTGGTGAGCCCCAGCATGGAAACCTGCTGGTCCCTATTGTGGGTCTGAGTTACCTATTACATCAAATGACTGTTGAATTAGAAGTAGACTGTCAGGCTATATGTAGCAATGAAGACCAAAAGCACTTGAGTATATCCAGTGCTCTGCAGACTTCAAACAATCTATGTTCTTCTCTGTCGTGTTAAAAATGCAGCCCCTGCCTGTGCTTTTTGCCAGAATTCTGGGTGTTTCTCAGGTACTGGAGTGAGTGAGGTGTCCTTCTGTGGCATTGCTTACATCAGTCACACAGGACAGTAAGGAATAGCAATAGCCAGGGCAGTGAGTCAGGTACATTCATTCACTGGAGTGGCATGATTCTTCCTGCTGCCCGTTGTATGCCATTCCTCAGAGCATTTTATGTTTATGCTTCTGAAAGCTGATGGTCTGGACCTATGTGTGTCTACCCAGGCCTGTTGGTTACATTAATCTTTGTATTTGGAGATGCCCCGGGAGAGTGATTTCCCTTTATCAGTCCTTCCCATGAAACCTCACCATGTGCTTATTGCTCCCCTTGTGAGATTTCACTCCTTTCCTCTACTCGATGCTCCTTGGGTAAGAACCAAGATCCCTTGCTTCTTTTTGCCACCCTTAAGGATCCTTTAGCACAGTGTTACTTCCCCATATGGTTAGGTATACAAGCGATGTTGGGGTGACTCTGAATTAGCTCTCTGAAGTCAAAAGTAACTGCTTCGAGCCCTGCTCCAGGAGTCTTGCTGCACGTTTGCCTTGCCTAGTTCCCATTCCTCTTAGCACTTGTGGAGTCTGAGCGCCTCCAGTGTCAGTAAAGCCCAACTTCCCTGATTTGTGATTTTCCCCTCCTTCCCCTTTTCACAAGAGATCCTTTTAGAACCTCACCCAGTACCACTGAGTATCACATAAAGAAAATTTATCCTTACTAGTACTTAAATGTATTGTGAAATAAATGTGTTTTATGCAATTTGTTTGGTGTCTCTGTGTTCTGTATCTGCAGTTTGTGTGTTTTAATGCCTTTCTTAAATTCAGGAGGACATATAGTAAGATAAATGAGATGCCGAGCTTTCAGGGCAGCAGGAGAATGTGTGTTTTCCTTTAGTACTGGTCATCTGTAGGTAGACTTTTGATACACGACAGACAGACAGACTCCTGACTGTGTTGACTAAGCTGGATGCCACAGGGAACCTGAGCTTGTCTATGATATCTAACATGGGACAGGCATTAAATAAACAGCTTGGACAGAGTTTAGAATGCTCTCAAGACCTTAGGCTGTGTGTAAGGCCCAACGGCCAGGCTCTCCCTCAGCCATACAAGCACAGAACCTCCCCCCTTCCAGCAGTGGTGCTGGGGAAAAGGGTGTCCCAGGGTCTGCTTCTCAGAGGTGGCTGCTCTTCCAGTGCTAGGGTAGCATCCATCTCCTACCACCTTCCTCCTCCATGTGCCCTTCTGTTCTTTTCCCTTCTTTCATTCTTCCCTCCCTGTCTCATATGCTCACTTTCCTTCCTAGTGAAAAACTGAGGGAAATACAACCAAAAACAATGTATTCTTGAATTATTAAATGTTAACATTTTGAAGTCTTAAGGCCAGTAATGTCTGTTCCTCAATTTTCTTGTCTGTAAAATGGGACAATAGTAAATTCTACCTTCACTGAAGGTATTAAACAGGGTGCTGTTAGTACCATGTCTTAAGATGCAGGCCCTTGCTGGGTGTTGGTGGCGCATGCCTTTAATCCTAGCACTTGGGAGGCAGAAGCAGGTGGATCTATGAGCTCGAGGCCAGCCTGGTCTACAGAGTAAGTTCCAGGACAACCTCCAAAGCAATACAGAGAAACCCTGTCTTGGAAAAAAAAAAAAGATGCAGGCCCTCAGCAGTGTGGGCCACGTTGCCACTGGTGATAACAAAATAGTTTGCAGTCCAGTCTTTGGAGGTAGAAACTGGGTGATTCTCAAGCATGCTTGAGCTCCCAGACTTCCTCTTATTCCCTGGCAAGATTCTTGCAGGGTTTATTGTGAACAATTAACATGTTGTGAGAACACTAGAAAAACTAAAAGGAGATGACTTGTCCTGAGTTATTTCGCTCTCCATGAGCTCAGGCTCAGCATTTGGGGTATTTCCTTCAGTTTTTATCTCCTATTTGTACCTGTTTCTATTTTTTTCTTCTAGAAGTTGTATACCAGAATTTCATACTCTGCTTTTTTTTAACCCAGCAGGGCATCATAGGCATTTCCCCTGAGGGCTCTGTAGCCAGTGTTCTGTTTTTTGTGGGTTTTTTAGTGTTAAATAAAAGACCTCCAGGTTCATCTGAGTGGATGTCCCTCCAAATGCCAGGCACCGTTTGTGGTGTCAGGAACAGAGTGGCAGTGTGACAAGTTCCGCATCTGCCCTGGGAGCACGAAGCAGTTAGTAAAGAGATCACAGTTGCTGAGTGTCAGGATGACATGGAAGAGCCAGAGCCTGGCTCTTATCTCAGCCGGGAAGACCCTGGTCATCCTCCCAGTTCCTGGCTCTGTGTGATTGTGTGGTGAGCCACAGTCTGCTTTGCTTGATGGGGAAGCTCAGCTCTTGTGCTGAAAGTCAGCAAGGAAACCTAGCTGGGAAGTGTGGAGCAGCCGCGTGCTCACCCACTCCCACCAGCGTGGCTGTCGGGCCCAGGGCCTTCCATCCTGCCCTGCACTCAGTTGCCACCACCACCCCAGGCTTCCACTTGTTTATCCTGCAGGGACTTAGGGGGAGCAGACAACAGTTCTCAGGACAGCAGAGACTAGGGTGCTGGCTGCCACAGTGTCAGCAGGGTGGGAACCTGTCTTGCCTCTCCATGTCAGTAACCTGCCTGTCATAGAGTAGGGTCTCTGAGAGGCAGCTGCTGCTAGCAGGGAAATGGTAACAGCAGGTGTTCACTAGGCACTGGCTTTGCATACGACATTGGAGATAAAGGGTGACTACTTCACAGCTATCCTCCTGGTGTTAACTGTTGTCCCTTGTGTCCTGATATTTTTACTTTCAGCTAAGTAATCATTTGTTTGAAGAACTTGCCATGGATGTATACGATGAAGTTGACAGGCGAGAGACTGATGCAGGTGACTTAACATGTGGCTTTACTAGGCTTCTGTTCTCAGTGGGAGGTGGCAAGCTGCCAGCCTGTTTTACTTGCCCAGTTGCTACTGTCCTCATAACCCATGTGTTGACATGTACTTTTGCGTGTGTTGGCTTTGGAGTGTGCTTCCCCAAGTCTACCTCGTAGTATGTGAGCCGTGCCTCCCTGCAGAGCTCTGGCACCACAGGTGTGATGAGATTCTGTCTCTGGCTCTTTTCCTCCGGCTAGTCTGGCTTGCCACGCAAAACCACAGCACCCTGGTAACCGAGACAACTGTCGTCCCCTTCCTTCCGGTCAATCCTGAGTACTCCTCAACACGAAACCAGGCAAGTGACCCAGTGTGAAAAGTTAGTATTATTTGGGAAATGACTTATGTCTTGGTATTTAGTGTCCTGTATTCCTGTATACTTGTAAATAGACAACTTGAGATTGAATAAGAAAAGCAGATATGAACAGAAAAAATACAAAGAACTTACAAACATGAAAGGAAATGGTAAAAGACAGTAAAGGGCACTCTTGGCTGGTGGTGGAGCAGGATGGGCTCTCATGCCACTGACAAGACTGTGGGTGGCTGCGTATGGCAGGTGGCTTGTTGGCTCCTTGTGTGATCTCAATGCTCAGGAAGCTGGGACAGGAGGACCTCAAGCTTGAAGCCAGCCTGGGCTACATAGCAAGACTGTGACAGAGATGGGGGAGAGAGGAAGGGAGAAAGATTTATTGATTGATCAGAAGCCTCAAATTTATGTAAATCCTTGTACGAAGGAATCATTTAAGAATACTTCTGAAAAAAGCAGATTTATACATGTGTTTTGTCTGTAACAATAGTACATTAAAAGGAGTCTCATTGTGTGACAGAGGAATGAGAAAATGAGGAAGGGTTTTAGTTCCAGCTAACAACTGTCTGAAGGAACAGAGCCCATATCCAGACTATAACCTCATCTTTAAATTTGGAAATTTCCCTCCAGATTCACTTTTCACTCAACTCAAAATTAAATCATTGATAATAGAACTATGTTTTTATATTTGTTTTATTGTTGTTTGTTTTGGGGGGATTTTGGTTGGGTGGGTGGTTGGTTGGTTGGTTGGTTGGTTGGTTGGTTGGTTTTTCAGGACAGGGTTTCTCTGTGTAGCTTGGTAGTCCAGGCTGGCCTCAAACTCATAGAGGCCTGCCTCTGCCTCCCAAGTGCTGAGATTAAAGGTATGCATCATCACCGGCCGGCTAGAACTATGTTTTTATATTCTGATAGTGCTGGAGATTGAACTTGGCCTCATGTGCTAATCACATGTTCCAGCGTGAGCGACACATCCTGCCAGAGCCATTTTATTTGAATTTGTAACAGCAAATATTGGTGTGGATTGAAGAAGGGTGGCAATGGAGTTATGTGGTTGAGCTGGACGATCCTGGCATAAATGTGACAGTCTTGGACATTTGCTGTCACTACTCATGTTTATATTTTTACATTGAAGATTATTTCCCATTATTTTCTCCCCTTTAGGGCAGACAGAAATTAGCTCGGTTTAATGCACATGAATTTGCTACGCTGGTCATCGACATCCTTGGTGATGCCAAGAGGAGACAGCAGCAGGGCAGTCCTCTGTCCCGGTCACAAGGCAAGTGTCCCACCCTGACAGAGAGTGTGCCTGGGCCTTCTAAGACACAGTGTTTAATCCAGAGCTGGGGTAATGGGGCAGTCACAAGTATAGCCTTACCATCCTGGGAGCATCATTGCTAATATATTATGACGAAAGGTACCTGTTGGAGCCCTGTTGAATAAAGAGTACTTCAAAATTACCAAGTATTATTAAGATTTATCTTATATGAGATTTTTTCCCTTATCACATATTTCCCCATAAAATTGGCACTTTGAAATTAACCCAAAAGTTAACTTAAATTTTACCAAGGACGTAAATGAGAATGTGAAGGTTCTTGATTAGAGTTCATTTTCACTGCTGTCACTTACTTTCAGAGCCCTCAGCCTCTAAATAATTGGAATTTACTGCTGTAAAATTTAAGTGTCTGTAGCAAGAAACGTTGTGACCAGCAGTGTAAAATGCGCTGAGCATCCATTTCAGAATGACTCTTACAGGGCCAGTCTGCAGTCATAGGAGCCGCTTCCTCCATAGCCAACTCGTAACTCTACTCTCAATTTTTCTATGTACAGAAATGATGTCTTTTATTTTGAGGCACTTAATAAGATATCTGTGTCATAAAAATTAAGGTTCTAGTCATTATTGCATAAGGCAGACAGTAAACTGACAATAATTTGTGTTTCCTGCTTGAAGAAGTTGGTTCTGTTAACTCAACCAGGAATGAAGACTGGGAAGGTGCATTAGATTGGTGAAGGTGCAGTGTGGAGAGTCTGCATAAAACCTCAAAACAAGCCTACTCCAAAAGAGCAATGATGTCTCATGTGTGTTGTGTATAATATCAAAGACATCAGAAACAGCTAAATAATAAATTCTAGAGAAGCAGTCACATGAGTAGCACACAGACATATTCCAGAAGCAGTGATATGAAGTGAAACAGTACATGTTTAAAAGTTTGGTGTCATCTCCATTTTGTAAGGGAAGTGTATTTACGTAGATGGCTGTGCCCAGGAGACTAGACCATATGTGAATGTGCACATGTAACTGTGCTCCTCGACAGCAGATTCAGTATTTGCCCAAAGTGTATCCCTGGCTGAAGTTGAGTCTTGTGACTTCCTGCTTCTGTGTTTCAGGTCGCATACTGTGTAAGTGCCTTTCATAGACCACTTAGTACCATGTTCTCATACTTTTTGTTAGCAATTTCACTGCTTTAAAAAAAAATGGCTCCAAGCATAGTGGGGAAGGTGTTGAGCAGTGTTCCTGAGTGCCAGGAGGCAGAAAAGAAGCGTGGGGGAAGGTGTGTGTGTGTTAGGTTGTGTGTCTGATTTCCTGGCATGACTGTTGGCCTCAGACCGTGGTCATGAATCCACTGTGTGTTACAGACCGTGGTCATGAATCCACTGTGTGTTACATAGGGAGTTAGTCCTTAGACAGAAGCTTGTAAAACAAGACTCATGAAAATGCTGTGACCAGTGGCTCTCAAGAATTCTAGTCCTCTGTTTCTTCTAAGAAGCTCAGTGGCAAGAATAACAGAGATGACCAGAGAGAAAGAGGCCAGCGTATGGCAGAGCCTGCAGTAGTCCCCACCATCACTCATTAGTGTTACCATCCCCTGTAGTCAGCTGTTTTTTTAAAGATTGATCTTAAAAATTAAAATAACACCTCTACCTCTTAAGAAGCCAGAATTGGGCTGGAGAAATGGCTCAGCCGTTAAAGGCTAGGCTTACTACCAAAATTATAAGAAACCAGAATTTACCTCCATGTAAAGCTGCCTGTAAAACAGTCTTAGAAATTGGAACATAACTTGAGTTGCCCAAAATAAATCACAAACTTGGGTGGTTTGTGAGCTTTTTATTCTAAACATATCAGAGCCTGTAAGTCATTGCTTGTCCATGAAGCAGACATGACTGTTAATGTACATGTGTATCCACTCTTCATTTGTCTGACTTGTAACCACAGTCCCTATTCTTTGAGCACCTGGTTTCTAGGCTGTGTGCTTTCTGGGTGTTTGTTTTTGAGACAGGGTCTCTATGTAGCCTTGGCTGTCCTGGAACTCTCTGTGTAGATGAGACTAGCCTCTAACCTATAGAAATCTCCTGCCTCTGCCTCTCTGGTTCTGTGATTAAAGGCAAGTGTCACCACACTTGACTACTTTCTGTTTAACTTGCCATCCCCTATAGGAGTGTCAAAAGTACTATCCAGTTGCATCACTTCACCTTATGTTTTTAGCTGTGAAGCTGTGCTCCACGTATGCAAGCCCAAGATGTTCCTCCTTACTCTAGCAGACCTGGAGTTTGTCCAGCCACGGCACGCAGATCAGGGACTTTTTTTTTTTTCTCTCATACATTACATCCTGATCAAAGTTTCCCCTCCCTCCCCTCCCCTCAGTCTCAACCCCACCCTTCTGCTCTCCTCCAGACCACTCTTACTCTGTCTCCCCTCAGAAAAGAGCTGACCTCCCAGGGACATCAACCAAACACAGCATAACAAGCCACAGTAAGACCAGGCACACACCATCTCATCAAGACTGGACGCAGCAGCCCAGTAGGAGGAAAAGGGTTCCTCAAGCAGGCAAAAGAGTCAGAGACAGCCCCTGCTCCCACTATTATGAGTCCCACAAGAACACCAAGGTACTCAGCCGTAGCATATGTTCAGGGGACCTAGGTGAGACCCTTCAGGCTTGGATAAGGGACTTGACTTTCTCTGTATAACTGTCCATTGGGCTGCTTACTATGTTAGCCCTCTGTGAGCAAGATTATAATGTTACTGTTTCTGTCATTTTCTTTCAGTCTTTTATTTAGGTAAACCAGAAAGTCATCCTAATAGTTTATTTTAGAAGGAAAAAATTATATTTTAAGTCTGAAATAGTTTTCCCTCTTCTGTGACTAGATAATGTCGAACTCATACTGAGAACTGTCAGTAACCAGCATAGCACTGAGAGCCAGGACAACGACCAGCCAGACTATGACAGTGTGGCCTCAGATGAAGACACAGATGTGGAAACCAGAGCAAGCAAGGCACACCGGCAGAAGGTGAGAGGACACACACACATACACACACACACACACACACACACACACACACACACACACACACACACAGAGGACAGACTTGTGTCTCTTAAACTGGGGCTGACGCTGAATGGCACAGTGCTTGCCGAACATGAACAAGGCCCTGAGTTCAATTCCCAGCACCACTAGGCAAAGAACACATACACATGTAAAGATAGATATAGATAGATAGATAGATAGATAGATAGATAGATAGATAGATAGATAGATAGATAAAGCTTGCCTGAAAAATTGGCAAGGTTAGCCCTTCGAAGGTGCTGTGGATGAAGTTGTGTTCCCTGCTACCTCAGGCCAAGCACTGACAAAAAGTAGATGCTCTTAAAATAAGACCCTTTGTCCCTGAGCAAATGGAGAGTCGGCCTGTTGGTGTCATGACTGTTTTGTGCAGCATGACCAGAGGCTTTTGTGCACTCAAGTTTTGTTGAGCAGCTTCTCTGCATGCTCTTCTCCTTGCCCCAGATGTCACCGATGGGGGTGGTGACAGTAAAGCATACGCCATACAGGTGGCATAGGTTACGAAGTACAGACAAGCTAGGGGTGCGAAGAGCACACAGGCGGAGCTCTCCACAGCCTAGGGATCTTAGACAGGGAGAAGATGGGGCAGGGAAGTCTGGGCAGAGGGGAGGAGCAGCCAGGGCCTCAAAGTCCCACAGTGCAGGGTCCATGACACCACACTGGAGGAGAGCGGAGGCCTAGAGGGCAGGCAGTGCAGAGCCCGGGAAGTTGTAGCTGGCAAGCTGCTTAGATGGCTAGCTGAAGGGCTGACCGCAGATCTGCCTCAGCGCTCGGACCACAGGGGCCAGTGGAGGAGACCGAGGCACTGCACTGTGAACAAGGAGTCTGCAAGGCCCTGCCCCACTGCAAGCTAAAGCCCCAGGACTGACCCACAGGCACCCTACAGATACTAGAATAAGAGGAAGATAGGCCAGAGAGTTGGAGGCTTGAAGCAGGGAGGTAGACCTAGAGATGTGTCCAGCATTTGCTGCCTCACAATTGCAGAAAGGACATCCCTGCCAGGACTGCCCAGGTGCTAGTACACTCAGTGAAAGCCTAAATCATTACCAGACCCTCAGGGCTAGACCCTCCATTGATTGACTAGGTTCCCACCTTCCCCTCCAAGCACCTGCTCCTTCTAGCTGAGCTCCCTGCTGGTTTGAAGCGTCTCCCCCAGACGTTCTCACTGATGCTCTCAGCCTGTCAGTTACTACTTACAGCTCACCTCATTTCCTTAATGTGCTGGTTCAGCTTTGCGCCCTGCCCTGCTCCACTGCATCTGTTTCCATAGCACTAATCACCTCAGTCCACTGGGTATCACATGTCAGTTATCTCCTTCTCACACTGCTGGGACACAAACACCGGGACACAAACACCATGGAAGCAGCAGTCTCGGTTTGCTTTTTCTTCTGAAATTGCTTGGTGCTGAATAAATAGTGTGGAATGAATGAAGGGAAATGTATGCAAGTCAGAACAGACTGTAGCCAGTCAGTGTCCGTATAGGTTTGCAGCTCCCTACCTGACTTTAGGAAATTCTGACTAAAACTTCAAAAGTACTGCAGTGCCCTGCTTCTTGTTGGTTTAACTTTGCAATTTCACTGGCGTGACCAGAGATTGAAACTCTTTAGCTGTTAGTCTTTAACATTATCGTCTCAGATTGTGAACATTTTCCCCAATTTATTTTTAGAGCCTAGATTCAGATTTGTCAGATGGACCAGTCACTGTGCAGGAGTTTATGGAGGTCAAAAAACGCCCTAGTGGCTTCTGAGGCCAAGATACAGCAGCTAATGAAGGTGAATAACAACTTGAGTGACGAGCTGAGAATTATGCAGAAAAAGGTAACATGTTAATCAATGCCAGGATGGTTGACTCGCTGATCCCAGAGCAGAAGGGCGAGGGAAGAAAACATTTACTGTGACAGATAGAAGTTCCGGGCCAAGCTGTCTTCTTGAAAGCCAGATGTTGTGGATGTTTGAAATGAAATGCTTCTGATTAGAAATGCATCCAGAGTAGGAAGAGGGACCGCATCTCAGTGGTTGAGCATCTACCTCGCATGCATAAGGCCCTGGGTTCTGTTTTCCTATTTGGCTGGAGATACAGTTCAGTGTGTGCTTCTTTTTTTTTTTTTTAATATTTTATTTATTTATTATGTATACAATCTTCAGCATGCCAGTAGAGGGCACCAGATCTCATTCAAGGTGGTTGTGAGCCACCATGTGGTTGCTGGGAATTGAACTCAGGACCTCTGGAAGAACAGTCAGTGCTCTTAACCGCTGAGCCATCTCTCCAGCCCCTCAGTGTGTGCTTCTAAATGCATTATTGGCATCTAAAAATGCATTCAGAGTAAATGCTCCAAAGACCTAACAAACAGCCTGGTGTTTGTGTGACGCAGCAGAGCTTTGCCTTACCCTGGGCTTCCTGGGAGTCTGGAAGCTACTTCTAGGATGTGGTTCTCCCTCCCCCCCCGTTACTGATTGTAAAGTTTAATCACACAATGCAAAACATTGTGAAGGTCGTATGTTGGCACTGACTCTAGCTGCTACCCTGCAACCCTCTTCAGCATCTCAGGTTGCTAGAACTTGCCACCTAGAGCAGGCTTTGACACATAGCAGATTCCCACACATTCCACCTGTACTAGCAAGGAGTGACAACCATGTGTTCAGCACATTCCTAGCCAGTTCCCTAGTGCAGTGGGTCACACCCCCAAAAGACAACTGGAAAATACAGATACTTGTGTTGCAATTTGTAACAGTAGCAAAATTACAGTTATGAAGTAGCAACAAAAATAATTTTATGACTGGGGGTCACCACACCATTAAGAGTTGTGTTAAAGGGTTGCAGCATCAGGAAGGTTGAGAACCTCTGCTCTGGAGACGGGGAACTGCGTGAGTGCATTCACCTGTAGGAGTGGGCGAGAGCAGGGCATTGAAAAGCTGCCAGTATTGTCCCTGCATTATGAGGACTACACTCATTGACTCTCTTGAGAAATAAGCTTTATATGCACCCAGAGGCTGGTTTGTGGTTTATGCTGTCTTTGAGGAATGCACTGGGTCAGACTAAAACCCTTAAGATCTGGTCACAAGGTGCACCTCCCAAAGGAGAGCCAGAGACTCGAGCTCTTGCTTGCTGGGGATTATGGTTGTGAGAACCTTTGAAATGGGTGGCTGCCATACCTGTACTACCAAGGATGAGAATGCCTGCAGATGCTCGGCCCTGCCGCACAGGGCCATCTAGGCCTGTCACAGCCAAGACCGACGGGCCTCAGAGCCCTTTGCTGTAACATGCAGGCCTTGCATTTCCTCCACCCTCTTTGAAGACACACAGATGTAGTTTAGTGTGGTTGTCATACAAATCGTTTTCTTGGAGTGATTTTTTTCCTGAAACTTGTCTCCATTTATAAGGGAGGGAGTGATTGCGGGAGGTACCCACACATGCAAAAAGTTAATAAGGCAAACTAATTGGCTGGTGAGATGGCCCAGCAGGTGAAGGAACTTATTGCAGAAGCCTGACAGCCTGCAGGAAAGGGCACCATAAAACTGTCCTCCAACCACCACAACTCAAACGTCATACACATGCACACACCATAATTTTTTTGTTTTTATTTTAATTTCTAGAGGCAACCCATATCTCCAAAAGCAGATGTCTTGTTTTTCTTTAGGAAATGTAGAACAAGGACTGGGGAGATGGCTTATCAGGTAAAGCACTTGCCACCAAGCCTGATGACCTGCGTTCAGTTCCCCAAACACACACAGTGGAAGGAAAACCCCAGCTCCCCAACTCCACACAAGGTGCCATGGTGTGCACCCACCTAGGCACATACACATGCACACAAAGAAATCAATAGAAATTTTTAAAAGGAAATGTTGAGCAGGGCCATTGCTCATTGATTTTCTCTTCAATTCTTACAAATGCCTTTTGGTTTCTGAAACTGTTTAATTACCTGTAACTTTTTATTTCCTGCCATACTTTTTCCAAACAGAGTATAGTAACCTGGTTCTTTTTTGTTTTGTTTTTGTTTCTTGGGGCAGAGTTTCACTGTGTTGTGTAGTCCTGGCTGTCCTGGATCTTACTCTGTAGACCAGCTTGGCCTCTAACTCAGAGATCCTCCTGCCTCTGCCTCCCAAGTGCTGGGATTAAAGGTGTGTGCCACCACCCCTGGCTGCCTGGTTCTTATAAAGATGAACATAATTAAAGTTTATCTAAGGGTGTCTTCTCTTGTAAATACAAAGTGATTACATTTTTTTTTAAACACAAACCTGCAATCCCAACTACTTCAGAGGTAAGGCAGAAGAATCACAAATCCAAAGCTTTCTTGGGCTAAGAACCAGTTCAAGGCCAGCCTGAGTAACTTGGGCTGCCTCAGTGTGCTAGGGTCCTGGCTCTAGTAGACCATGTGCCTCCCTGCTTGAGACTCTGGGTTAGACTCCCTTGTGAGGGGCCTGGGAGATTGAAACCAGGAACTTGTGCTCATCTCAGAAAACAGGGGGCAAAATCCAGACTGGATATCTTGGATGCAGCAACAGTGTTGAGAGTTTCTTTTTTCACAGCCTAGTCTGAGAAGCCACAGTGACCTTTTTATGTAGGCTAGCACATGAGGCTAATACTTAGGGGCCTAATCACTTACACTTCTCACTGAGGCCATCCTATTCCCCATTCATAATCCTGTCTGTGTCCTGGAGTGCAAGAATTTCTGGAGGCTCTCTCTTGGAAGAAGAGTTTGCAGATACAGGCAAGGAAGCCATGCTTCTGTGGAAGTGTGGCTCTACTGATACAAAGATGTGGGGTTTGTTTACATAGCAAAGGATGTATTGATTTTTACTTCAAAGTAGTGTGATTTATGTCTGATCTTTCACATTTAACAGTTGCTTGGAAACGATGCTAATTAATGAAGAGGACCGGCCACTATTGGTGTATTTCCACAGATCCGTGATATCTAGACAAAAATTGAAAGTTAACTCCTAACCCTGCATGAGCTTGATATTGGAGACAAGGATCTCCTGGTGCAGGCACAGTTGCTTACGGACTTAAGCCTTGGCGATGGAGGGCAGTTTGGTCAGAGTGTGCGTCCTGTCAAAGAGTAGGCAGTTGATCAGTGACATGCAAGGACTAGTGCAGCATGGATATGGTTGCTTGTATTTAAGTTGCCAGCCCCACAATTCCTTGCTGATCTCTTAACCTTGAAGCAGCCTACATGTGAAAACTGGGCTCCAAGTGACAGTGTCTCACCAAAGTGAGGTGCTACCAGGCAGGCTAGCTCATTTAAAGCCAACGTCACCTACTGCATGGTTTTTGAGTGACAAAGCCACATGAGAGAAAGGCCAGGTACACTAGCCCTGGCAGAAAAAGGACTGTTCACCAAAGAGAAGCAAGTATGCCTCGTGGAACACCCCATCATGTGAAGATGCTAACATAGTCCATTAGGTTGCCAGTTTTCTGTGATATATTAACTTAGCATAGTCAGCGTGGTTCTGTTCCCTCGTATTTTTTTAAAGACATGCTTGAAAGTGCTTGGAATATCAAGAGTGCTATACAATAAAAAATTTTTATCCTAATTTTTCTTGTTGGCTCTTTGGAAAGCGCAAGGCACTGAAATTTTCCCTGAGCTGAACCTCACTCTGTTTCTTCTTTGCCCAGCACCTCTAGTTTCTTTGTGCTGCTTCCATGGTGTCTCCTGTCACTGTTCCCATTTGTAAATTGCTCAGGGATCATGTAGAAACAATCCTAGTTAACGCTCTGAACCTCTTCCTTGAAACAGAGTACAGCTCATCTGCAGATGTGTTCTGGCCCTAGAGTAATCCAGAGTACAGCTTGTCTGCAGATGTTCTGGCCTTAGAGTAATCCAGAGTACAGCTTGTCTGCTAGAGTAATCCAGAGTACAGCTCATCTGCAGATGTGTTCTGGCCCTAGAGTAATCCAGAGTACAGCTTGTCTGCTAGAGTAATCCAGAGTACAGCTCATCTGCAGATGTGTTCTGGCCCTAGGGTAATCCAGAGTATAGCTTGTCTGCAGATGTGTTCTGGCCCTAGAGTAATCCAGAGTATAGCTTGTCTGCAGATGTGTTCTGGCCCTAGGGTAATCCAGAGTATAGCTTGTCTGCAGATGTGTTCTGGCCCTAGAGTAATCCAGAGTATAGCTTGTCTGCAGATGTGTTCTGGCCCTAGAGTAATCCAGAGTATAGCTTGTCTGCAGATGTGTTCTGGCCCTAGGGTAATCCAGAGTATAGCTTGTCTGCTAGAGTAATCCAGAGTATAGCTTGTCTGCAGATGTGTTCTGGCCCTAGGGTAATCCAGAGTATAGCTTGTCTGCAGATGTTCTGGCCTTAGAGTAATCCAGAGTACAGCTTGTCTGCTAGAGTAATCCAGAGTACAGCTCATCTGCAGATGTGTTCTGGCCCTAGAGTAATCCAGAGTACAGCTTGTCTGCAGATGTGTTCTGGCCCTAGAGTAATCCAGAGTACAGCTTGTCTGCTAGAGTAATCCAGAGTACAGCTCATCTGCAGATGTGTTCTGGCCCTAGGGTAATCCAGAGTATAGCTTGTCTGCAGATGTGTTCTGGCCCTAGGGTAATCCAGAGTATAGCTTGTCTGCAGATGTGTTCTGGCCCTAGGGTAATCCAGAGTATAGCTTGTCTGCAGATGTGTTCTAGCCTTAGGGTAATCCAGAGTATAGCTTGTCTGCTAGAGTAATCCAGAGTATAGCTTGTCTGCAGATGTGTTCTAGCCCTAGGGTAATCCAGAGTATAGCTTGTCTGCTAGAGTAATCCAGAGTATAGCTTGTCTGCAGATGTGTTCTGGCCCTAGGGTAATCCAGAGTATAGCTTGTCTGCAGATGTGTTCTAGCCCTAGGGTAATCCAGAGTATAGCTTGTCTGCAGATGTTCTGGCCTTAGAGTAATCCAGAGTACAGCTTGTCTGCTAGAGTAATCCAGAGTACAGCTCATCTGCAGATGTGTTCTGGCCCTAGAGTAATCCAGAGTACAGCTTGTCTGCAGATGTGTTCTGGCCCTAGAGTAATCCAGAGTACAGCTCATCTGCAGATGTGTTCTGGCCCTAGAGTAATCCAGAGTATAGCTTGTCTGCAGATGTGTTCTGGCCCTAGGGTAATCCAGAGTATAGCTTGTCTGCTAGAGTAATCCAGAGTATAGCTTGTCTGCAGATGTGTTCTAGCCCTAGGGTAATCCAGAGTATAGCTTGTCTGCTAGAGTAATCCAGAGTATAGCTTGTCTGCAGATGTGTTCTAGCCCTAGGGTAATCCAGAGTATAGCTTGTCTGCTAGAGTAATCCAGAGTATAGCTTGTCTGCAGATGTGTTCTGGCCCTAGGGTAATCCAGAGTATAGCTTGTCTGCAGATGTGTTCTGGCCCTAGGGTAATCCAGAGTATAGCTTGTCTGCTAGAGTAATCCAGAGTATAGCTTGTCTGCAGATGTGTTCTGGCCCTAGGGTAATCCAGAGTATAGCTTGTCTGCAGATGGGTTATTCCAGAAGGAAGAGTTCTTGTCGCTTTCACTTGCAGCCCAGCTAGCTTTACTATTCTCATGAAGTCGGTATTGTGTTCGTGTACTTGGTGTTTGCTTTGTCTGCTTATTGTGCAAAATCATAGGCCCACTGCCTAACATTTCTTTCAGCTTCAAACACTCCAGTGTGAGAATTCAAGCCTCAGGAAGCAGGCCACAACCAGTGCCTGTCAAGTGCAGACTGGTCCCGACTACCCAGACACTTCGAGCCACTCGTCCTTAAAGCGCCGGCCATCTGCCCGGGGCAGTAGGCCCATGTCCATGTATGAGACTGGGTCAGGTCAGAAACCATACCTCCCAATGGGGGAAGCTAGCCGTCCTGAGGAGGCCAGGACGAGACTTCAACCCTTCCCTGCTCATGTAAGTAGCACCGCTGTGTGTCCGTCCCTACTGTGTGCCCCTCTTTTCTGACCGTGTAGATTCTCTGGGCTCTGAGAGGTGCCCTTGCGTCTGCTGCGTGAACATGTCTACAGCTGCGCCCAATGTGGCACAGACTTGTGGACAGGAAGGTTTGGGCTAAGTCATGTGTTCTGGCTCTTACTAGCCCCTCCCCTCCAGTTCCTCTCTCCCGTGATGTATTTCCCAGACAGCCTCTGTTGGCATTTTTTGTGCAAAGTTTTCTTCCCGAGTTCCACAAACAAAAACCAATTGTAAAGGTCAGTAGCAGAAATGTCTTTGTCTTCAAAATAGGCAGAGGTTGGGGCTGGAGGCATGGCTCAATGGTTAGAGCACTGGCTGCTCTTGCAGAGGACCTGGGTTCATTTCCTGGCACCCCCATGGCAGCACACAGCCAACTGTAACTCCAGCTTCAGGGGATTTGACATCTCCTGGCCTCCAAGGCACACATACATGCATGCACGTAGCACACATACATGCTTGCAAAACACTTATACGTAAACTAATCTTTTTTAGAGCGCAACAAAGTCGGCAGAGGATGCCCCCTCTATGAACTGTAGCACTTAGGACCAAAGATGCTCTTTTGGGCCCTGTGACCTGATACATGAGACTCTGGGCTTCAGCACCTGTTAGCATGGCTTGATCACTTCATAAAGATGCAGTGTGAGCAGCAGTTATAGCAGCACTCAGGAAGGTGAAACAGAGGGATTGCCTGGACTGTGTGAAGAGACCTCCAAAATACACTTTAACAAATAAAGTTGTAAATAATAGAAACTGCATCCACCCCGCACTGTCAGTTCCGAAGACTGCTCTGTGTCAGGTTCTCACGGTCTATGTAGTGGCTTGCAAATTGGGATGCCAGGTTCTCCAACATTAAAATGCTCTGTCTTCTTGATTGGCTTATTAGGAAGATGTCTGTTTTCACAGAGTGCCACAAGCATACACTGCCTTGTGCAGTTGTTTTTTCAGAACATCACATTTATCCTTTAGGTGTCAAAATTAGAGTACATAGAAAGTTTCAATAAAATCCTTAGGGTAATGCAAAGTAATGATAAGAGCTAATAAATTAGCCAGGTGGCGGTGGCACACACTTTTACATCCCAGCACTTGAGAAGCAGAGGCAAGCGGATCTCTGTGAGTTCAAGGCCAGCCTGGTTTACAGAGTGAGTTCTAGGACAGCCAGGACAATTACGCAGAGAAACCCTGTCTCGAAAAACCAGGGGGGGAAAATCTAATAAATGAACCTGATTTTAATTTTGTCAGCTTCGGAGTGGACCCCGGGGTCCATCTCTCAGCTTCTGGTTGTTTGGTTTCATGCTTGAAGACAGTGTATTTGCATCTGAACTAAGTGAAAAAGAATCCTGCTTTTATATAACTGAAAACAAAACTTAGGAAAATCCCCCTTGGTAACTTACACAGTGTACTTGATTTTTAGAGGAAGTTGGATGTACGGCTGTTGTTTGTCCTGTATCTATAGTGCTAAAGATTGGAGTAATGGTGTGCACTAATTTAGTCATCCACAGCACTTAGGTCCTATTATCCCTCTTAATTGGAGAACAAGCATCATTGTAGACTGTGCATTAATGGTAGGTGCTGCCAGTTTTGACAGCTATGCTGAACATAGCTATGATAACTATGGTGTCTTTTCCCTTAAGGAGAAGAGGCCTCTTGAGTGGAGAGGGGTGTCCAGCAGGCACTAGCTTCACCAGGGATTAAGCCTCTCAGGAGCTGTGTCACAGCTGTCACCACTGTCACCGAGCTCATGGGACTCTTGTATGATGAACTGTAGGGCGGGAGGTGGGCGTCTGTTTGTTTTGTGTGTTCCCAAGCTTGTTTCTCTCTCCACTTCCAGATTGGGAGGAGTGCACTTGTGGCCTCCTCTTCGTCTCTGCCTTCCTTCCCCTCCACACTTTCCTGGTCCAGGGACGAAAGCGCCCGAAGGGTTAAGTACACTCTGAATGGTCTGCCCTGAAGGAGGGGCAGTGCTCCTGGGTGCTTTGTGCTTGGGTGCTGGTCCTCTTGTCCATGCCCCTTGCTAACTGCCCTCTGTCCTGCATGAAACAGCGCTTGGCTCCTGGTTTCTCACAGCAGCAGGCACATGCCCTCATGCACACCTGTTCCTGAGATCCAGCCTCACTTCCCTCCTGTGTAACTCCACATTGCTCCTTTTCACCTGGTAACCAAGCTCACGATCAGCCTGCAGCAGCCATTCTAAGCATACTGTCTTGTTAAACAGAAAATTAAGTTGGCCGCTGGTTAAATATTGTAGGGCAAATCTGTCTCGTTTTCTTTTTTCTTTTTCTTTTTTTGGAGCTACAGTTACTAAAAGTATTTATAGTACTTGGGTTAGCACGAAAGTGTCATGGATTTTTTTTTAACTACTGACTGACTTTATGTTAGCCATCTTATCTGACAAACCCAGCCCTTAGTTGGTGCTGTCATGCTTGCTAGCAGTGCAGAAAGGAGGTGGCTGCAGGCTTAAAGCTGCCTATGTGTACTGGTGTGTGCCTCACAGCACAGAGTAGGACATGTTCAAGCTCCTTTAGAGGGCCCACCCCACCCCCCCTTTTTTTTTTTTTTTCTGAGACAGTTTCTCTATTGTTTTGGAGGCTGTCCTGGAACTAGCTCTTGTAGACCAGCCTGGCCTCGAACTCACAGAGATCCGCCTGCCTCTGCCTCCGAGTGCTGGGGTTAAAGGTGTGCACCACCACTGCCCTGCCACACTCACCTTTAAGAAGAGCAGCTAAAGGGTGCAGAGGTTTTAAGTGTCATGGCCCCTGCTCCCAAAGGAGTGTCATTTAAAAAGGAAAGTGTTTTTGCATGCACAGAGAGCTTGATGACTTCCTCTTGAGGGAGGCTGTGGGGAGAGCCGAGGATTGGAGACCTGCCCTTCAGATTCCAGCCTAGTCTGTAGCAAGGGTGAGAAGAGGGAAGGGAACTGTGGGCAGGAGAGCTCCTTCCCTGCAAGCCTTTGTGTGCCCCCTACCCCAGAGCAATGGGGACCCCACCCACTGCCAGGGTCACATGGCTAGCCAGGTCTCCGAGATTCCTCAAAGCCCTTTTGAAGCAGTGAAGCCAAAAGAATTGTTGCTGTTTGATACTTGCCATCTTCTGGGCTGTCCTGAAAATGTACTTAGTGGTTTTGTTCCAATAACCCAGCTAAGAGCACCAAAATAATAATGAAATTCCCCCAGTCTGTTAATGATTTTCTTAAAGAGAGACAAGTAAGCCCTTCTTATCCACCATAACATTTTGTAGGTGTTTAAATGTATGGAGTTTTCGTAGCTTTGAGACGGACCAGTTACAGAAATGATTTTGTGCACAGTGAGGAGTGAAGTTGTTGAGGCTCATCCGAGCTCCCGGCAACTTTGCCGTGGGCTTAGGTTTCTGTGGTCGGTCTGTGCAGAGTAAATGACAAGTTGTTAGAGAACCGAAGCAACACCAGCTATAAGGTGACTTTTCTATTAACAGCTTTGAGAGCAGCACTTAACAGCCCTGGCTCTGCATGTTCACAGTAATTTTCATAAACTTAAATGCTGGCTACATTGAAATCCTGTATGCTTTTTTGACGACGGAGGAGGACCGAGTGCGTAAGTAGCTGACCTTGGGTGATGGTCCTCTGCACTTGAGGAGGCTTGCTGAGCACTTTGATGGTGGTGCAGCTCCCTCTTCTGAGGTTTAAACAACATGGCACTTGTGATCATTGTGGGTAATGTATTCAGTTTCTGACTGCCATCTTAACACCAGGAAGGCAAAATCATCTCTTATAGAGACGTGGGATTCCAGGAGGTAGGAGGATTACAAGTTTAAGGCAGACCTGGGCTACATAGCAGAATTCACTGTATCTCAAAACCCAAAATATAAGGTGCAGAGGATATTAATCCTGTCTTCTAAATTGTTCCTCCCATGGGAGCAGCTCTGAGTTGACTGTGCAGCATAATTAAAATGCAGTGTGTGTGTGCATGTGTTTTTATGTGCATATGTTTGATATTTGAGAAAAAAATAAAGATCAGTCAGACATTCCCTGTAAAAGGTAAGAAAAGTCTTGGGGTGGTGGAGTTCTGAGATTAGGTCTTCAAGCCTCTACTTTCACTGCCCCTGCACTAAATATGGTTGGGACCTCCTCTGCCTGGCGCCTGGGCCTCTGGTGTCAGTAGCCCACTGACCTGAGCCAGATGAAAATCCCATAGCAGTGAGCAGGCGCTTAAGAACTCAGCTTTAATCTCACAGGGTTCCAAGCCAGCACCCAGTCATTTACCAGATGGGTTGGAATGGATAAGAAAGTTCGTATTAGGAAGCCAACCCTGGTGTCTTCTGTAGAACGGGAGAGAGGAAGTCCAGGAGGGAATGTGAAGGACCTCAGCAGACAGACAGACAGAGAAGGCTGAGTGTGGAGGGACTAAGGAGGCACCCCACCTTGGAGCTGGCCAAACCACAGACTGTATGCAGACTTCCTCAAACCAGTCTCCTCCAGCAGCCTTCTTTCTGGATGTGTCTAAGCAAACCTTTAGGGCTGCAGCCTGTGCCACACTCCCTCAGCAGTTCAGTCCCCTGGCTATGCACGGCTGGAAACGAGCAATCAGTAATCAGTGTAGGCTTTGCATTGGCTTACGCTCATTTCTAGATAATGGATTGTCACACACGGTAAGATGAACACTGAGAGACAGTTTCTCCACACGGTCCAGACCAGATTCCTCCAGAGGACATGGTCCTTGCCACATCTTGTCACACTGAGAGGCCCTGCCTTTAACGGTACTGCCGTTCCCTTGCAATGTTTCTAGGGATCCCTACTTTGAATCTCCAGCCCATTTTGAACATTCTCAATTATACCAAATCCCTATATCTTCAGAGGGAAGTGTGGAACTAAGAGTCAAACTAGGTTGATCCACTTGGTTCACAGGCAACACATGGCTGGCTTTCCTAAGGGCTCATAAAAACCATCCTTGAAGGCAGTTCTTAGAGCAGTCATCCAGACTTCCCAAGGTTGTAGTGACGTGGGTATCTCCAGAAGACTGGAGGCCTGGCACTTGTCTCCTCCTGCAGAATGCCTGAGAGTGAGCAGCTAGCTCTTGGTCCTTTTCTTCATCTTGTGTTAAACCAGATCATGTACAGTTAGCTTCCAGCTCCGAAGGTGTGTGTCCAGATAAGTGCTGGTGTGTTTGTTACTAACTGCATCTCCTTCCATTCTGTTGAGAGCTAATTGAGAGGCTTGAGTGTATGCCTGTGTCAGTGTGTGTATCTCTTCAGGGAGCCGCTGGTGAGCTAAGGAGAAATGGACCCAGTATTCATTCATCTTTTGCTACATTTCCAGTAAAGGGCTGGTTTCTATCCCAAATGAGCTCTGGGTATGAAGGTGCATAGCCTGGCAGGAATCTTCCCTGGGAAGACTGAGGAAGTGTGTGATGTTCAAATCTAACTGGGGTCCCCTTCTCTTTTTGTAGGCATCCAGGTTGGAGAAGCAGAACAGCACACCGGAGAGTGACTATGACAACACTCCCTATGGCACTGAGCCAGATGACACAGTGTATGTGCGGGGGAGAGCACAGGGAGGGGCTGTTAGCACAGACATGGCAGGCCTGAGCCACCTCACCCCTTTGTCTTCAGACCATTAAGGTCTTAAGCTGCCTTGGTTTCCCAGTGTCATAGCTGTCTTTTCTGTGCTCACGTTACCGCTGTTTGCCCTTGTGCCAGCGTACTGTACCTTCCTGCCAGTCTGCAGTGTCTGCTGTGCTCCGTCTGCTGCGCTGCCAGGCCGATATTAGCTACAGTCTGAGTTTGTTTGTCAAGGAGTTGGCAGCCTGGGGATGGCCGTTTCCAGCTGCACCCTCCCCATCTGTTATTTCCTCTGTCTGCCTTCTTCACACTGTCTACCGCAGCCCTAACTCCAGCCCAGGACAAAATGAAAGACCTTAATGTGGCTGTAGGTGCTGGTGATAAGCAGGGCTTGCTGTGTCTCCTGGTAAGCAGGAGGAAGGAAACCACAGAAACAGCTGAGTACTTGTCATGCTAAGCCATTCTTAACTGTCCACAGGTCAAACCGGAAGGGACGGCAAAGGAGTATGGTGTGGCAAGGTGATGGCTCATTGCTAGACACGACAGAGTCCCACTTGGTCCCCAGCCCCGCGCTCCCCAGCACAGAAGATGTCATCCGGAAGACTGAACAGATCACCAAGAACATCCAGGAGCTCCTAAGAGCAGCCCAGGAGAACAAACACGACAGGTATGAGCTGCAGCTGTGCTCTGACAGTGTGCGTCTGCGCCAGTTGGGGCTGCTTGAATTTTGCTCTGACTTCTGGGTGGATGGAAACTTAAGTAGGATATATATGTCTTGAGTTTGAGGTTTTTATTGTTTTCATCGTGTTACAAAGTAATCTGAAAATAAATACATCTAGAAATAAAACTGCAATGTATTGGAGACAGGGGAGGAAATCACCTCACTACTCCCAGGTGATTCTTCTGGCCACTGCTGCAGCTAAGATTCTCCTTGAGAACTAGGATTCCAGACAGGAGGTGTCCCGAGGGGAGCCTGCTCTGGAGCTGTCTGGTTTCCTTGTGCACACACACAGTTGCACATGTTCACTTGGCAGGAGGAGGCCACACCTTCCTGCATAGAGCAGGGTACCCCACCTGACAGTGGTAAGGGATCTCACACAAGAACCACGCCTGGAGTGCTCCCAGCTTGTGGGGTGCTCTGCCTGTGACTCCTCACAGTTATGAACGCTGCTGGTGTTTCAGGCTGCCCTCACACTGTGACTGCTCTCTAGTGCTTGTCAGAAATATAAACGTGCGCCCTGAGGCCGTTTCAGCCTTCAAAGATGGCAATATGCTATTGGCCTCCGTTTAGGAAGGCTTTTTACATAGAAATCAAGTAGCACCTTTCATGCTTTGCTCTCCTTTCATTTGAAGACCAGGGAAAAGAATGATTTCAAAATCACTGGCTTATGCTTCTGATTCAAAACTAGAGTTGGCCAAGGGGTTTACTTTTTATTAACTATTTGGTGCTCTGTGCTTTCACATAGGACCTGGTGCTGTGCTAATGACAGCCTTACTCCCTTCCCTGCTTCCTTATCATATGGGTCTAGATAAGTTTACCTAGGGGTCTCGCCTCCACACCACCATCTTACTTCTAGTTGCCTGAGTCCAGCAAGCTCCCCTCACCCCACCTCAGCTCTCCTGCAGCCCCTCACCCCACACCAGCTCCTGCAGCTTCACTTGCTCCAGGTCATGTCTGTCCTCCACCCCTTCCTCCCCTCCATACACAGAGCAATATAAAATTAGAAATAGAGATGACTTTTGATAGTGTTTATTCAGAAGTCAATTTTATGGTTTTTAAAAAACAAGGAAAGAATGTTCCTCAAGGATTGAGTCTGGTGGTTAGAAATAGCTTTGTCAGGCCAAACCTACAGCAGTCTTGGCAGTGTTTCTTTGCAGAAAATGCCTTCTAATGTACTTTCCCGGAGCCCCTGTCCCTCTCAGGCAGTGGGGAAGTCCTGCACTATAGCCAAGGCTTGGTGACAATGTGACTGTCACTCAGTTCCCCCTCAGTTTGTGTCTGTCCCTCTACACCTATAGCACATAGTCGTCAGGCTGCAGACCTGACAGGCTGTATCTGCTCTGTGAGGGTCTAAAAATAAGAATCCTGCATAAAACTGAGGTCTTGGTTCTTCCCATTACAAGTCAGATCATCACAGCTGTTCATACGTGACATTGGGAAGCAGACACCTCCTTGCTGTTGGAGCCTCCTAATGCAAGGAACTGTACGCCTTCATTGGCCAAGCAGCACATAAATAGTGAAGTGTAGGCACCGGTTGGCATTTAAGGGATTTTTTTTCAGTAGTCCTTTATTCTTATTCTTCACCTTAATGGACCTTGGCATGGACCTGTTGCTCTCTTTCTAGAAATCTGGAAGGTAGGTATGAGAAGTAAACAAGCAGGCTGAGCGTGTGTGGATTTTTCCTCTCTGTTGCCCAGAGCACACAGAGCAGATTTCAGGCCTGGGGACTGTTACGAGGGTGGGTGTATTCCCGAAAGGAGGGGGACGCTTTGTAGCTGTGCCTGCTGTGGGTGTGCACACAACTAGCCCCAACCTAAGCCCTTCATTACCCAGGTGGAAACGGAACTCATCCGGCCTCTGAGCATTCTTTACCTCTAAATCATTTGAGCTGCTTTTTAATGACCTCTTCAATGTTTTACAGTTATATTCCCTGCTCAGAGAGAATACACATCGCTGTTACCGAGATGGCAGCCTTGTTCCCCAAAGTAAGTCACTTCCTACTGACTCTCTGCTGAGTTTCTCAGCATTGCTTCCTGACCTCATACTGTCTTTGGTGAGGAGCAGGGTGTTGGGATGAAACCCAGGGCCCTGTGCACACTAGGCAAACACTCTCCTATAGAGCTGTACAGCAGCTCATAACCTTTTTCTTATGTTTTGTAGCACAGAGTTTTTAAATACATCATCTTATAGGGCTTTGAGGTGTTTTCACTATGCGAGAATATTGGTTTTAGTAAGATCTGGATATGTAAGTCAGGTGCTACAAGGCAAAGCAGTAGAATGAAGTTTAGGATATATTACCTACAAGATTATATTTTTAATAGCACATATTAAAATTCTTCTCAAATGCAAGCATTTCTTCACTCCTAGGCCAGGATTCATAAAACTAGGATTGTTTAAAACACCCAGTTGAAAAGGGTTGGACGCAACAACCTCAGTTGGTCTCAGGGGCGGACTTACTTACTCCTTGCTGCTGGATGTCTACCCTGCAGCCCACAGTAAACACTTGTACTCTTCATTTTAGAAACCCAAGTCTGACACGGTGAGGACTTCCCTCCGGTTACTGACGTCCAGTGCCTACCGACTCCAGTCAGAGTGCAGAAAGGCCCTCCCAGGAGACTCAAGCTTGCCCACGGATGTCCAGTTGGTCACGCAGCAGGTCATCCAGTGTGCCTATGACATCGCCAAGGCTGCCAAACAGCTTGTCACCATCACCACCAAAGAGAACAACAGCTGAACTGAAGGGCTCGCCCTCCTCTTTTGCAGGCTTCTGAACGTTTGGCTTCAGTGTAGACATGAACTCTTCAGATTTTACAGAGACGCTTAGTAATGATTGAAACTTTTTAAAGGAAAACTCAGTATTATTTTTGCATGTTTTCTAACAGATTTTTGACTGTGATTTAACCATTGCCTTATTTGTGCCTGTTTGCAGCTTAGCTTCTGTTGTGTTGTCACCAAGCGCTTAGGTCATGATCGGATGTGTTTAAAAGGGATTGTTTGGAGTTTGCTAAAACTTTTCCATCCTTTAAAACTCTCTGCCCATGGCTAAAACTATAATTGATATTTTAGTAAAACATTTTCTTAAGGGAGTTGAGCTTAAAAAAAAATCAATGTTATCCTTTCCTTCCAAGCATCGTGCAATAAGTAGATTTTCCATCCTGCCGTAGAGTCTCAGAGCTTGGGGTATCTCTAGGCATGTGTGGAGAGCAGGGTCCTTGCCTCTTGCTAAAGAGAGCAAATCTCTTGGGAAGAACAAGGGAATGACCCATTTCTAACTTTTGTATAATGTTAAGTGTTGTGTTATTTAATATTTTTATCTTGATTTTCTATCTATAAAGATTTTACCATCATACTGAAGTCTCCATAATGTCCAAATAGTAGTTACGAATCCACCCTCCATATCAGGTTCCAGCTGGGCACATTCAGAGCAGGAGTACCGCGCACTGTCAGGGACCTACCTTCCCCCCAGCCAGACAATTCACTCAGAACTTATGTATGGCTTGCAGACCGGTACTGACATTCCTGTGGTGGGTGGACACCTGGTGCCCTTCATCCTTTGACCTCTTACAGCTTCACTTGTCTCCTCTGGAAGGGCTTCTTCCCAGGTAAGACATCATGGTCAGTCTCTTCCCTTCACCCCACTGGTACTTAGAGATTAGACATCCTTTGGCACTGTGGAATATTCTCAGCATGCTCTAGCTGCCTCTCTCCCATAGTTCTGTAAGGGCAGAGGTTGACATCTAGACCACAGCAGCACTGGTGTTTACATTACTTAAGGCTCTTTCTTGTGACTATTACAGCCTATCCCTATCCCAGCTTGCCACATCTGTTTTATACGGGTGGAGCTCACCTGAGAAAGCCGGCAGTGTATGGCTAGGAAGCCAGCCAGGTGTACAGCCAGGCACAGAGGGCAGCTGGGGAGCCCCGCCCAGACAGGTGTACAGCAGGGCACAGAGGGCAGCTGGGGAGCCCCGCCCAGACAGGTGTACAGCCAGGCACAGAGGGAGGACAGCTGGGGAGCCCCGCCCAGACAGGTGTACAGCAGGGCACAGAGGGCAGCTGGGGAGCCCCGCCCAGACAGGTGTACAGCAGGGCACAGAGGGCAGCTGGGGAGCCCCACCCAACCTGCAAGGACAGCAGCTTTTTTCCCTCTCACTCATGTTGCTGTGGAGAAATAGACCTGAGTTGCTAAAGTTTTGGTTTTCAAGATAGCAGAAATTTGGGTTATTTTATGCATGTCATCTAGACATGCCCACTGAACAGTCGGAAGTAAGCTGTGGCGTCTAGGCTGTCTTTCACAGCCTCTGCTGGGCCTTTAAACTGCAGCATGAGGGCTGGCTTTACTGGCCACCAGAAGTAGCCCCTGAGGCAATCCTGGAAGACAGCTCTGACCCGATGCGAGGTCACTGTCAGTCTCCTACCCCACCCCCACCCCCACCCTGTGTGTTCTGTGGGAGTGATCAAAGTGCAGTTCACCTCTTGGGAGTACACCATCAGTCAAGCTCACCAGGTCAGGTTACCTACAGTGTGTGCACCGGAAGGGCCAGCTCTCCAGAAGCTGAGCCTGCTTACCTGTCTGTACAACCCGAAATGCTGGTCGCTGCTGGATGCCTAGGAGTGCCTTTCAGAAAGGGGCCTGCTGGCTTGAGCTCAGGCATTGTCTTTGACAAACTTCTCTGCCTGCTGCTTCAAGGGCTCTACCACCCTTCCTGGCAGGCTCTGTGGAGCTGGTTCCGATCCTGAGCTGGTTTCCATGTCTGCTGGAGGCTTCTCACAAGAGAAATGTTAGAGGCAAGGGCCTGCCACAGAGGACACTATAGAAAACTAAGGAACATGGGCCAGTACTACGTTTCCAGCTGTTCTCAAGAACACCAGAGTTCACAGTTGAAGCTCCCCCTCCCTGGTGGAGGCCACAGAAACAGCAGGAGAGCCCTTCCATTTGCTCCCATAGGCAAATGCATCTTGTCTCAACGCTTGTCCTGGTCATTTTTGCTTGTGGGTCCCATCACCTTGCACAAGTCAGCTCTGTATCCAATCCAGCTTTTCTGTCCCTCGTTCCTATTCTGCCTTCCTGCCTGCATACCCTACTTCCTGAGACCAAGAGGACAAAGGTTGAGCAGGCCCTGCCCCAAGCTCCATTTGCAGAAGGCACCACAGCCTCAGCATGATGGTTCTTACTTGCCAAAGACTTAAGTCGAACAATTGGGGGTGCCGCCCTGACTCTAGTGACCTCCGTCACAGAACCTAGGTTGACAGGAACACATTTTTTTATTTATTATTATTTTTTTTTATTTTCCATTTTAAATTTAGATAAGAAACAAGGTTGCTTCACAAGTCAGTTCGAGGTCCCTCTCCCTTTCCCTCCCCTCCTCCCGTGCCCTCCCCCCATCCCCCCCCCCCCGTTATCCCCTCATTCCCCCAGGGAGGGTGAGGCCCTCCATGGGGGTGTCCATAGTCTGTCATTTCATATAGGGCAGGGCCTAGACCCTTCCCCAAGAGTTCAGGGTGAGAGTGCACCTCACATTGTTCTATGGGAGTCCAGAGTCCGTGTGTATACTTGGGATGGGTACTGATCTGCTGTCCAAGGCTCAATAGATTACCTAGGCCTCCTCACTGACACCCAGATTCAGGGGGTCTTGATCAGTCCCATGCTGGATTCCAGGCTGATGCCTGGGATTACAGGAACACATTTTTATCCTCCACAGCTCCCATCCTGGTTGAATATAACCCATGCTCTTACAAAACAAAATGCTGCATAAAAAAAAAAATGAGAGGCATTTCATCCCAAGCATTCACCTGTGTCCATCATGCCATGCTCTTGTTCATTGTCCTTAAGTTACTGTCCCCTCATGGAAAATCATTCTAGAATTTGTGCCTGCCAGTTATGCAATAAATAGTCTAAGTGTCTGTGGTCATTTTGCTTCCCTCTGGCTGGTGGATGATTCCAGACACTAGGTAGGGGTGGGGCAAGTACCCATGTCACTGTTTCTTTAAGGAGAGGTGGTGTTTTAAGTCTCCCTACCTTGGGGGACCCAGCTTAGTCTTTTCCTTCCTGTGCTTAGCATGTAAGCTGTTTGTTTTGTATTTGAGGCAGGGTCTCAACATGTAGCTCAGGCAGCTGTCCAAATAAAGCCTAAGAAAGGTGGGATGTTACTCCTGTGGTCCAGCTTTCTAGGGAGGACATCTTGGGAGAACTCACAGTCCACAGGGCAGATCCAGCAGCTCTCACCCAGAGCACTTGCTTCCCAGGCCAGGTCCCCAAGAAGCCCTGCAGAGCTGCGGAGCCCATCACAGACCCATGCTAGGCTGGCTCAGTTGTGTGGGTGCCCCTGAGGCTGTTGCTGCTGCAGGTCTGTGCGCCACACAACACTCTCCAGCTCTTGATCATGACATTGTCATCCCAGCTGCTACTGCTGGTCACGTGGGACATCTTCAAAGCACTGGCAAGATAACTCAGCCAGTAAAGGCACTTGCCTCCAACCAAGCCTGATAGCCTGAGTTTGAACTCAGAACCCACATGTAGAGACCATCGGCTTCGTGAGCTGTCCTCTAACCCCGTGAATGAACAGGGAAGTGCACACACCTACAGACACACACAAAATAATGACTGCTTCAGTCTTCACAGCAACCTATGAAGAAAGATTTATTTCCATTTGAAGAAGAAACTGGCACACAAGGAGGCAGATTCCCCGCCTGGGAAAGGTGAGGGATCTGACCTTTCATAAAATCAAGGCATCTTTGAGAATGTGGCAGAAGTAGCCAGTGATGGGCTCTGAAAGCCTCAAAACCCTGCTGCCAGGGCACCACGAAGACTACTTAAACAAATGGCACTGTCACTTGTGTCCCAAAGCCTGGGGTCTCCACAGAGGGGTCTGTGCTGAGCTCTTGTGTCCACTGAGGCCGTTGGAAAGGACTAACAAGCTTTGGCCATGACTCAGCACTGTGTGAATGTGTCCTCCATCTGTAGGCCAAGCACAGGCCACCTCACAGAGGGACCCAGCAGGCCAGCAGTGTGAGATGTCCAGTAACAAGTCCTGGAGGGTGCTCACCTCTGCCCTCTGACCATGGCTCTTTCTCCAGGCTTTAGCCCAACCGCAAACCCGCCTACCTGCTTTGCACAAACATGGCATCAGCCATGAAGCAGGTCTCAAAGAGAAGCAGGCATGACCTCAACTCACACACCTGGCTCTCATCCCCCATCCCACACGCTCCATAGCTTCCCCTCTTCCCAGGTTCCCAAACTCTCCACACCCACTCAGAATTCAGTCTTGTTTCCCAAATGGAGCATCTGTCCAGGGACTCCAGAGCCTCTGCCTACAAAAATCCCTCTTCCCAACTCTTGCCATCTCTCAGGCCCACCTTGGTCAGACTCTCCCCAAAAGTCCAGGCTGACACTCACCTAGCCTGGGCTTCTTCCCTTTGCTAGCCTGGGCTGCTGCTTCTGAGAGGCCTACTCTGTAAACTTCATCTCTTGCCCAGAACACCCAAGAGACAGGCACATTTGGAAATTGCAGTTTGTACCTGTCAATCCACACACTGGTATCTTCCAACCTTTCTGTGTTCTCTCTCCAGCCCCTTTCCAGAACCCCACTATGGTACTACTCTGGTGCTATCTGCAGTCCCCCACTCCTGCCAGTTATCCAACACCTGAGAACTAGGAACTGGAACTCCCCCAGTTTGTAGATCAGGAGCCTGAGGCTCAGACTTGCTGACACAGGCAGCGTGGAGCAGCTTGGGGTATGAGGCCCGTGCTCTGAACCCTGGCTCTCTCTACCAGGAGAGTGGATGCTCAGTATAAAGACAGCAGACCTGCAGCTAAAAGGGGGAGGTAAGGAAGGAGTCCAGAGTGGCTCCGGTCCCCGTCTGTTTTGTCTGCCAGAGCCTCCTTTCCCCACTGATATCTATTCTGGTTGTTTCACACTGAGGCAACCCTTAGCCTCTGCTGCCTGACACCAGTTTCTGTGAAGACACTGCCCAGTTCACTCACAGGAACAGCCTGAGGACCAGGTTTCACAGGGTGTTGACAGGAGCTGAGGAAGGAAGCCCCTGCCCCCTCCAGGCTCGTGCATCCTGAGTAGAGGGGTGTCCCCAGGCAAGGTAGGAGGATGAGGTATAACACTCCAGATTCAAATGGGAAGAATTCTGTCCACATGCCTGGCAGACACAACACAGAAGGCATCCCTGGAAGGCTGGATCTTCTGAGCTCCCCGTTGAAGCTCCCCATGGCCTACATTTCCATACTCATGTCACAGAAAGGAGACCTGGCCCAAGACGAGTTATCTGGCTGCTGTGTGACAGGCACTGGCTGAAGCAGAACCTGGGCCCAGGAGAGCTGTGCTCGCTCCTCCCCCCCAGAATGTGGCTGCCTTATATGCAGGGTTATCAAGTGACCTTGTGAGCCCAGGTAAGAGACCCAAGCAGTCTTTCCAAGACCCTGTGGGCCTCTATCCTCTAGACTTCAGGGCAGCTGAACAAAGCTTGTGTGTATCTCCAGGATCAGTTTGACCTCACTGAACAGGTGAAGAGCCCTCCTGAGACTGGCATACACTCCACGTAGTCCCAGAGCTCAGCGGCAGGGGCCTGACCCTGACAGGAGACTCCCTCACACAGGACAGGACAGCCGTGAATGTTCCCTGCCAGGGACATGCCATAGGAGCTAGGGTTTGGTTCATACCCCGTAAGTTTATCTCTGCTGTCTGCCTTTCGCATCATCTGTTTTTATTTAGAAGACAACTTTAGGAGTCAGCTCTCTGGGTCCCAGAGGCTGGACCTCAGCGGCCAGGTTCGGCAGCAGGCTCCATGTACATGCTGCACCATCTCACCAGCTGTTTTATTTTTAAAATTACATTTCAAAGGCTATAGCTGTTCTCTGTGATAAAATACAGACAAATACCAAAGTGAAAATAATATGGATGTAGTCCTGTTGGTACTTGCCAAACATACAAAGCCCTGGCTGGATTCCATTTTCAGCACCATATAAACAAGGCTGGGCAGGCACATGCCAGAATGAAAAGTACCATTTATCCTGTTAGAAATCACCATAATGCATACTGTTTCCTTAAAACTGGAATTCTGTTAAGTACTGCTTTTGAGTAGCCTACCCAGGTATGACTAGTGTCTAGAACTTGGTTTGGAAGTTTGCTGCCATTACCATGACTGGGGAAACACATGGGACTGGGGGAGGCAGAGGCAGGTGGATCTCTGAGTTGTCTACAGAGTTCCAAGACAGTCAAGGCTACACAGAGAAGCGCTGTCTTGATAAGCTAACAGAAAAAGAAGACAAAGAGGGCTGTATCGCCTTCCTGTTGGTCGCACCATGGTCTGTCTCACGCAGTGTTGTCCGTGTATCTGTGGCTAAGTCAGGGTTCTTAGCCAGCGAGGGAACTTCCCTAGGGAGACTACACTGAGAATAGTGCAGAGGACAACTGTACGTAGTATCTATTATCCCATGGCCACAGTGGCTGCAACCCATCTCTATTACAGAATGATTGTGAGAGGAACCTACTGAAGAAATCTTGGACCATTTTAAATCAAACAGGGTCATGTGTTACATAATGACATACCAATAACGGTCATGGAGGAATGTACTAGGGTCCAGGGGTGTAGAACCCACAGTGTTGGCTTGTGGAAGTTCAGTTTGCACAGCGATTAAGTCACACACTGTAGTTAGTTTTTTGTTTGTTTTTAATCTTTGCTTTTTGGGGGCCTGCCACAGTTCCCAAATAAACGCAGGGAGGCTTATTCTTATGAATGCCCAACCTTAGCGTGGCTTGTTTCTAGCCAGCTTTTCTTAACTTAAATTATCCCATCTAACTTTTGCCCCTGAGTCCCTATCCTTCTCTGTTCTATATACCTGTCTTTACACCTTACTCCGTGGCTGGCTGGGTGGTTGGAAGGCTGGCCCCTGGCGTCCTCCTCTCCTTCCCTTGTTCCTCCTCTTCTCTCTCCCCAGATCTCTCTTCCTATTTATTCTTTCTGCATGCCAGCCCTGCCTATCCTTTTTCACGCTATAGACTGTTCAGCTCTTTATAAGACCATCAGGTGTTTCAGACAGGCAAAGTAACACAGCTTCACAGAGTTAAACAAAGCCTTTATCAGGCTAGCCCACCTGGTGACTTGAGGACTCTTCAGGGGTGGCATGTGTTCTGATGCTCTATGGGATTCTTTTTTTCTTGGAGGTGCTGGTGCTGAAATGAGGACCATAGACTTCCAGGGAAGCATTCCACAGAGCTACATCCCAGCCCTTAAGGAATCCTCACAACACTTCCAGAACACAGAGCTTCTTTGTCGCCCACTTTCCAGAAAGCACTATAAATGCCCAGGCTGCCAGGCTCTTCCAGAACACACACATGGACCTCTGGGGCTATGCAGCAGCTAATAACCTGAAACAACTACACCAAGACCTACCAGTGTGCCTTCAACAGAGTAACTTACTAAATGGCAACTTTAAAACCTGGAATGTTCCTTCCTCCCTCTGGCTCATGGTCCCATCTAGAGCTGACAAGTACAGGTGAGACAAGGGGAACCTACATATCCTGTCCTGGGAATACAACTTGTACCAGCTCTCAAATCTACTTAGATAGGACTTCTGGGCAGCAGTATAAACAGGTCTGTCTGTAAGACCTGTCTGAGGGAGGGAGGCAGGGAGGGCTCTCACTAGGCGCTGCACATCTGTGGCATCTTGACATGTAGCTGCACCATGATGTGCCTGAGCAGGCATGGTTGAACTACCCAGCAACATCCTGAGCCCTGGTCAGAACCAAGCACTGTACAAATGTCTGGAGCTGTGCATCAAGTTGGCATGCTTCCCTGTGCTCGTCGTCAGTCCCAGGCAATTTTGGTATGTCCATAGGGCTGAGAAAGAAAGCATACGATTTATCAAGTTGGCAGTCTGGAACTCTGGGAACTGACCTCCCACTCTATTAGGAGCACACGAGTGAGTGTTCACTCACAGCCGAGAAAACCCTGACTCTGAACCACAAGGAGGCCCACCCTCTGTGACCTGCCCTGAGATGCTCCGTGAAGCCCTGACCCTGGCTCACTGACGCATGCTCAGGTGACTTTGGAAATGCTATTCCCTGTGCTTGGAGCCCTCTGCCTAGTCGGACTTTGAAGTCCTACAGAAAATGAAAGAGCGCGCTAGTCTTAGCCCACCCCGGCCCCTCACTCCGACAGTGAAGCAGTCAGCCCTCTCTCTGCAGCGCACACCCCTCGGAATGCCAGGAGCCAGGTGGCCTGAGTCCCTCCCGGTTACAGAGAGCCTGGTCAGCAGGTCCCTCACAACATGGTGCCTTGCTCGGGGCTCACACAAGTCACTCAAGAACAACACAGAAAGAGATAAGAGCCAAGGGAAAGGGGGAGCAGGGAAGTAGGTCTCTCCGTCGCCTGGCTTCACTGGCAGTTGGCACCTGATCCCACTGTCACCTCTTACCAATATGGTCATCATTTGTGTTTTGTCCAACAGGGTGGACAGGTACAAGACCAGCAGTCAGGCCCTCCATCTTTGCAAAGACTGAAGCAACAGGAACCAGAGAAAAACCACTTGGACCATTTGAGGTCCAGTCAAGGGATGGCCTTTGCACTGAGGCTATAACCAGCCAGAAAAGACAGACACAAGGGAGGGACAAGAGAGCCCAGGATGGGACGTGGCGGCCAGTCACCTGGCAGGTGCCTACCTTAGGCCGGTAGCCCTCCTCAGCCATGATCTTGGCCTCTTGCTGCAGCAGAGCATCAGAGAGCTGTTCTGCCCTCTTGAGCTCCTCCTCTTCCTCCTCCACCTGCTGGGCTGCTTCCCAAGCCTGGAGCTGACGCTCTGCAACCTGGACACCAACAACACAGTCACCAGAGACAAGGCCCATGGGGCAGAGCCCTGCCTCCCAGCAAAGAGGCAGATGGCAAGTGCCAGCAGCCAGGATGGGAACTTGAGGCCATGGGGACAGTGCTATGGACCTTGCAAAAGCTTTGGATGCAGCCGTGGGTTTGGAGAGCAATGGGATAGAAAAAAAAGGAACCAGGAGGAAGCCTGTGCCATGGAGACATGGCTCAGCAGTTAGGAGGGCAAATGGCTCTTACGGAGGAGCAAGTTCAGTTCTCAGCAACCGCAGGTAAGTGGCTCTCGCCTGCCTGTGAGTTAGCTCCAAGGGATGCAGTGCCTTCTACTGGCCTCCCTGGACACTGCACACAGGTACACAAACCCATATTCAGCCTCACAGGCAAATGTCAGGGCTAACACAGAAATCAAAAGGGATCTGGATGTGAGCAAAGCAGCTGAGTCACATAACTCTGAGCTCTGCTCTACGGTGTCCTGAGAGCCTTGCAGGGCCTGCTGCCTCCAGGGTCCTGACTGCAGGGGCTGCCCTTGCCCTCGGTGCCCACCTGGGCTTCCAGCTCCTGCTTCCTGGCTGACTTCAGCATTTCACGCTCCTCCTTTGCACGCTGAGCTGACTGCCTTGCCTCCTCCAGACTCTGGAGGAGTTTCTCCCTGTGTTTTAGGGTCTCCTCTTGAGCCCGCCAGTTCTGTTCCATCTTTTCTCGTATCTGCTGCTGCCTCCCCGCCAGAACCTGGCACAGGGGAAAGAAGGTTTGCATTTCAGTGGAAGACACCCAGTCCCAGCTTCACACAGGATGCAGCTCATCCAGCCTAATCCTCACTCACAGGCAGCAGACCTGGGCCACAGGCCGGTGTGGGCCCTTCCCCAGCCATCCCAACTGTCCTGATTAGTTTTATTTCCTTCCAACTCTGCACAAGCTAGAGTCACCTGGGAAGTAATATCAGTTGAGAAAATGCCTCCATAAGGTTGGCTTACAAGCAAGTCAGCGGTGAATTGTCCTGGTTAATGATTGACATGGAAGGGCCCAGCCCACTGTGGGTGATGCTACCCCTCGGCAAATGGTCCTAAGTTATGTAGGAAAGCAGGCTAAACCAGTCATAGGGAACAAGCCAGTAAGCCGCTCCCCTCCATGGTGTCTGCATCAGCTCCTTCCTCCAAGTTCCTGCCCTGCTCCCTCAGTGATGGATGTGACCTGAGAGTTTTAAGCCTCAATAACCCTTTCCTGTCCAGGCTGCTTTAGGTCACATGTTCTATCACAGCAATAGAAACCCTGACTAAGGCAGCAGCCTACAGGTCACAGCAGTGTTACGGGGGAAGACACTGGAGAGCCCTCTATACAGGCACACAGGAGCTTCAGGCAAATACAGGAAGACTCAGCCTGCCAACAGCAAGCCACAGGCAACAGTGTACAGTCACACCATCCTCTGGGGCTCCGAGTAGCAGACACCTGCTATTGTGGAACCTGGACCTTGAGCCAGAGCAATGAGATTCCCCTACCCCATCCCAGGAACCAAGGAGCCCCCAGACATGGCCAACACCTGCACTGTCAGGAGGGGGACACGTAGTGTGGCCATCACCAGGGGGATGGAAGTCGCAGGGTGGATGCTATGTTACACGAAGGCAAGCACCAACCAACCGACCGACCAGGGCTGATCTCCCAACAGAACTGATCATCCAGCCCACGTCAGCACAGCTTTCAGCGCAGGGTGACAAGGACTTGCCAGCCAGATCCCCTGGTCCTCTCACACACTCGGGTCTACTGCTGGTTGCTGGCCCCAGGGAACACACACTCCTGCATGAGGTGCCCTGCAGGCGCCTCATAGAATATCCACTTGAGGAGGGAGGACGGGCAGGTGCAGGTGCAGGCATGCGGTGTTCGCTGACAAGATGCTGGATGTGCTGGTGAGAGCGCCCCATTCAGACAGCATGGGGAACTGCATGTAGCTAAGCCACGCTCTGAGCCACAGCAGACAGAAGAGCAGTAAGCGGCCGTGGACGAGAGGGCTCTCAGGACTTGTGCTGTTCTTTCTGTAAGTCTGAATTCTTTCTAGTAAGCTTGTGTTACTTACACAGTGATGTAAACGCTACTGAAGATAACCAGGGCTGATTTAGTCGGGGTCACCCACATCCCCATGGGCCGTCCAAGCCCCTGCAGCTGGAATTACCTCACTCATCAGTCTGTCCCGCGCACTCTGCTCTCGAGCCCACTCTGCTTCTCTCTTTTCCCACATCTCCTTGGCCTCCTCCCTGGACAGGCACAAAAGGGACAACAGAGGCTCTATATCCCCACCAAAGGCAGGGAGTGATGGCAGACAGAGCACACACAACCGCCAAGCTTCAGACAAGCACATCCACACAGCTTCCCAAAGGTGACAGCTAAGGACAACACTTCTCCAGTATTTTAGGTCATCATTTAATCTTCTTACATTAAAAAAAAAGTACCACAGCCATTTAGCACTGAGGTAAATAAATCATCAGGACCAGAAACAGGAGGCAGGAGGACACTACCTGTGCCCAAGCCTGATCAGCACACGCCCAGGATGGCTGCTAGCTGCTCGGGCCTCCACAAGCCATGTACCCACCACTTGGCGGAACAGTGTCTGTATATCAGTGTGTGTTGCCTGTTATTTGGCTGTTTCCATCTGTGAGTTGGACTTTGAGACCCCCAAAGCTGGGCACACAGGCCAGCAGTCCCAGCCCCTGGGTCCCAAGGAGTTCAAGGGGTGGAGACCAGCCAAGGCAACATGGCAGGACTGTCCTTAGGAGCATATTAGGATACAGGTTGATTTTTACAGATCTTAGAGGCTCTGTAAAAACCACTCTCTGCACATGGTTTTAAGACTTTAGATGATGACTCTGAACAGTAATCATTCCCACCTTGACTAACGTTAGGTCATTACCCCAAGCTACTAGCAGACATGTTCCCTGGGGATGATGAATTACAAGACAGATGCTTCAGAACAAGTGGCCTACCCAGTGACCTCACAGGGCGTCTCACAGAACCAGAGTAGAGGCCAGCGGCTGCCCCCTCACCTCAGCAGTAGCTGCAACTCTGCCTCCCGAGCTTTCTCCAGCTGCAGCTGCTCCTCGATGACCTGTTTCATCCAGGCTGCATCAGCCAGGGCCTGCTCCCGCCTGGCCAGTTGGACACGCTGCTGCTCATCTTCCTTCTCCAGGAGTGCCTGCAGGATCCGCCCGTCTGCCTCCTAGAGGAGGGAGTGTAGCCCATGGGTGATGGGGTCAAGTGAGGAGACAGAGAGGAGCCGCCTCCCTGCACAGCCCCGTCTGCATGTCCCATGTCCCACACATGCAGTCATGCAGGGCCTGAAGTATTCTCAGGATAGAAGGGGAGGGCTGGACTGCTTCTGCATAACCACCTAGGCCCACTTCATGTACTGCACTGGCCCAGAAGCTTCCCGCTGAAGTGACCCCTCCCGCCACATGTGCCACCACAGGCACATGTCCCTGGATGTGTATGACACATTTGAGAGCGCTATTCGGCTTCAGTTCACAGCAGTGCATGAACATAGATGCATGTATCAACTGCTAACTGCAGCTTTACTGTAAATGGGGAAAACTCAAAATCACCACTGAGAGGAAGTGACCTATTATCTATGTCTATATAATACAACAAAAGGGTGAGGGGACCCTAGGGGTGGGGGCAGAACAGTGACATCAGAGCCAATGGTCTAACAAAGGAGGCAAAGAGTCAGGAAATCTGAATGTGCTCACTCACAAGCTCATTAAAACTTGTGACAGGAATACCAAACAGCTACCAATAAACAGCCCAACTAGTGTCCACTCCACCACATCGAAAAGAAATGTGCTGAGCAAGGCAACTGGAAGTGAACGCAGCAGTGTATGTAAACAAGCCAGGGGCACGCTCGCTCCGAAGCAGCCATCTCCGGAGGTGGGAAGGACATGGAGGAGGGCCTCGCTCGGCGCCTCACTGAGCCGGAATCAAGTGCCCACACTGTGAAATGATCCAGCTGAGTCGTTAGCATCTGGATCACCTAAGGCAGTCCACCATGGAGCTGCCGAGCCCTCACAGTTCAGCTATGGAACAGTGTTGACAGCACGGTCAAGTGTGGCCCAATGTTTGCAAAGTCCTCGACTCCTCTGTACCATCCACCGGCTTCTCCCCACTCCCATGAGTGCTGCAATTCTCCTGAGGATGCTGTTTCCAAAGGATGAAGGGACTGCTGGGGCGTCTTCACTCACCAGCTCCTCCTGGACCTGCTGGGTCCGCCTGGTGAGCTGCGCATTGTACTGATGTCTCAAGAAGCGCCTAAAGATGGGCATCAAGCAGCGTCAGTCCGCATGGCCAATCGACAACTGAGCATGCAGGCCACACCCCTTTTGGTTCCGGGGAGACTCCATGAAGTCTGAGAAGGTAAGAGGCCCCCCCTCTGGGAAGAGCCCAGGCTCCCCACACACCCCAGCTCTGCCTTGCGCCGGAGGGCTGCCATCTGCCTTCTCTCCTCCTCCAGCCTCTCCAGCTCCCAGCGCTGCCTCATCAGGTTCTCCTGCTCCTTCTTCAGCTTGGTTGCCTATGGTTACAACAGCAAACTCAAGTAAGGTGGGCAGCCAGACTGTCCTCCTACATCATCTCCACCTCTGGCAGGCACTGTATGAGCACGGCCTGGCCTCCTCTGTGGTCCCCTCCGTGGGATTCCGAGTCCCACCTCAACAAAACTTCCTTTCTGTGCAGGCCCCACATACTCTGACTTAACTTCTGTTTCCTCAGGTCCTATCTCTAGCATCTAGAATTAGTGATGGGCACTCAATTTCTAGTTATTAAAACAATGGGGCTGGGAAAGGTAAATGGTCAGAGACCAGAGAGATGAGGTTCCCTCCATCTCAACACAAGGCTCAGTTCTCTCAGGAAACCAGTGTTCAAGGACAGCCTCCTGGACCAAAATCCCTCATGGCTCACGTTCTGAGACCCAGAACCTGCTATAAGGGGAACACTGTGTGCTACAGCATGTCCCACTGGAAAGCCCCCGATCCAAGTGGACAGGTGTCCATTAATGTCCCAAAGTCTGAGCACACCATGGAGGGTCACAGCAGAACCTCAAAGGAGTGCACACTTGAGGGGCACCCAGCGCTGTGAAGGGGATCCATCCATAGAATCCCCAGCTCTGCTGCCATCTTAGAACTGCCCTGGAAATGTGTGCACTTGCCCCACAGGCTGCGGCAGAGCGGCTGCCTCGGGCTCGAGGGCCCCTCACCTCCATCTCCTTCTGCTTCAGCTCCTCCATCTGCTGGCGCAGGGCTTCAGCCTGCAACTTGTCCTCCAGCTGCCTCCTCTCCTCCTCTGCTCGCATCCGTTCCATCGCTTCCCTGCGGGCAGCTTCATACTCATTTTCAAACCGCTTCTTCTCCTGCTCCGCACTGGCTCTTTGCTAACAGAGGGCAGCCCTATCAGCAAACCGCCCGCAGAGACTCAGCTCGCTGCTGCCACTCAGTTGGCTCAGCCTGGACCCCACCTCTCCAGCAGTGACCCTGGGACTCGGGCATCAGGCTTCTTCCCCCTCCACAACATAACACAATGAACTCAGAAGCAATGTGATGTGTACACACTGGACTCCCCAAGGTGCTGCGATAGATAAGCCAGGATTGCGTGCCTGCGATACAGGTTTATGACGCTGTGGCCAGAGAGATGGCTCAGCAGTTACCGGCTCCTCTGCTCTTCCAGAGGACGAGCAGGGCTCAGCTCCCAGCAGCGACCTCAGGCATCTCACAGTCACCCGCACTACCTCCCAGCTGTCTGATGTCCCCATCTGGCCTCTCTGATACCAGCACATGTGTGACACACACTCAAGCATAAAAAAGTAAAAAGTAAAAACTAGGCACCGGAGAGATGGCTCCACAGTTAAGAGCACTATGGCTGCTCTTCCAGAGGACCTGGGTTCAATTCCCAGCACCTATATGACAGCTCGCAGCTGCCCATAATTCCAGATCCAGATGACCTGACACCCTATTCTGGCCTCCCCAGGTGCCAGACATGCTTGAAGTAGACAGATACAGCAGGCAAAACTCCCATACACAGAAAAATAACTTTGTAAAAAGTATTTTAAAAAGCTGGCCAAAGTGGCACATGCTTGTAGTAGTTTCATTTCCGGGAAGTGGAAACTGGTGAGTCACATAGTTCCCCAGTAGTCTACGTGGGAAGGCTACAGACCACTGAGAGACCCTATCTCAGGAAAACACGGCTGGCTCCTGAGGAGCATCACCAGAGGTTGTCCAGATGCACACACCTGCACACACATCCACACATATACACACCTGAACACACACCCACACAAACACATGCACACACCTGCATATACACCCACACATGTACACACCTGAACACACACCCATGCAAGCACATGCACACACCTGCATATACACCCACACATGCACATACCCGTACAAACACCCAAAAATGCATACACCTGCATCCACACAGACAATATGTACACACACATGCAGACACACACACATGCACACATGTACATGCACACCCACACATGTATGTGTACACACCTGTACACACAGACACATGCATGAATATGCATGTAGGCACACACAGAGCAAACATGCAGGCAGGCACCTGCTGCTCATCTAGCCGAGAGTATAGAAACAAGACACAGTGGGAGGAGGGGAGGGGCCATGGCACAGTGAGTGCCGTCACACATCACACACCTGGTTTTTTTCTTCTGTCTGTGTCGCCCAAGAATTTATCACGTGCTTCTTGTGAAGGTCCAACTCAAGCTGAGGGTGAGAAAGAGAGAATATTCGTTTCCCTGTGGGCTTGGGTGAGACAGAGGTGACCTGCTTGCTGTCTGTGCCATCTGCTGGAACCTGCCCATGACTCTCTCTGTCAACTTCAAGTGTAAGGTGAACCCAATGAGAACAGTAAGAGAGGGCTGACGACACACTCAAGGTGAACCGGCATACCTGAGCTCAGCCTCTGGAGCCACCTATGTAAAGAGCAGGACGTGGTGGCATGTGTGTGACCCTAGCAGCTCTGTGGTAAGATGAGAGGCAGAAGCCAGAGAACTGCCTAGAAGCCCAGAAACTCAAGGGCTAGCCAGCTTGGCGTGCTCAGCCAAGTGGCAGAAACAAGACAAACACTACCTCAGCAAGGTGGGAGGAGAGAAATTTCTGACTTTCAAAAGTTGTCCTCTGACCTCCAGACAATCGCCATGGCACACTTGTGCCCCTCATACACACAGTAATCCATAAAATCAATGACAACAAAACCAATCTGAACACTCAGCAGATAGGAAACCAAAGACCTGCTGCTTCTAAGCCCAGTTAGCATGCTCCCGGAGCCCCTGGTAAGCAGGACACATCCCAGCACACTCAGAAAAGGACCTGCAGTTGGAAAGGACAGCCCAGGAGAAGCAGAACCAGCCCTGAGCTTGGCTCATCAAAACTTCCTTTACACAGTAGCAGCTTTGGACTAGGCCAGCCTTGAACTCAGAGATCTGCCTGCTTCTGCCTCTCCAGTGCTGGGATTAAAGAAGTGAGCCAGAGCCTAAGGGTGGTGGTGCATGTTTTAATCTTGGCATTTAGGAGGCAGAAGTAGGTGAATTTCTGTGAGTTCAAAGGACAGGTTGGTCTACATAATGAGTTCTAGGTCAGCCAGGGCTATACAGGAAGACCCTATCTCAAGATACCAAAAAGATTTTAAAAAAGGAGTGGGGGTGAGATGTCTCAGTAGTTAAGAACACTAGCTGATCCTCCAGAAGTCCTTAGTTCAATTCCCAGCAGCCACATGGTGGCTCACAACCATCTGTAATGAGATCTTGTGTCCTCTTCTGGCCTGCAGGGATACATGCAGACAGAACACTGTATACATTAAATAAATCTTAGGAAAAAAAAAGTGTATAAAAAAAGATTTAAAAAAGTGAACCACCCCACCCAACTTTCTTATTTTAGTATTTACATTTATTTAGTGTGTGTGTGTCTGTGTGTGTGTGTCTGTGTGTGTGTGTCTGTGTGTCTGTAGGTCAGAGGACAACTTGTGGGAGTTGGCTCTCTCCCTCCTCTCTGTTGGTACTGGGATAACTCGGGTCACCTGGTTTGGTAGCAAACACCTTTACCTGCTGAGCCCATCTCACCTGGAAATTTTTAGGCCTAAGAAGCTATATAAAGTGACAGAACCAAACTTGCACAAACACTGAAGCAAATAAACATTATCAGTAACAGGCTGAATACCCTTCAGTGATGTTAAGGAAGACATTCTCTGTCCCCAGGTGTCCCCTCTGCCCCTGTCTGAGCCTTCACCTTAGGAGCCCCACAGCAGCAGCACCCTCCACCCAGCTCATGCCAACAATGCTGCCGAAAGGGTGCCCCAGGATGCAGCTGTGACCCCCACACTGCTGAAGGAGGCCAGGCAATGCTGCTCAAGGTCTAGCCCATCTACTTCAGCTTCACCACCTCAGGACTCGCTACTATCGGGCCCCCCAGTCCTGCTATCTGACCCCCCAGTCCCGCTCTCTGGCCCCCAGTCCCGCTATCTGGCTCCCCAGTCCCGTTATCTGGCCCCCCAGTCCTGCTATCTGCCCCCCAGGTCCCACCTGGCCTTTCACAGCTTCCTGGCTCTGTTCTCGCACCACAGGCCAGTTCTCCTAGATTCCTCCATCCAGAAGGCCCTTTCTTCACTCCGTACTACAGAACTAAAGCCAGCATCATTGCACACTCCTCCACAGAAACTGCTCTTAGAGACGTCCTGAGCCCACCCGCCCAGGTCTCTTCAGTCTGTGGGAGCACATCCCCAGCGGCAGTCTGTGCAGCAGAGCTCATTGACACTGCGTAGTCCTGTCACCGGGCCTCTCTCTGCCTGGTCCTCTGAATCCAGGTTCAAACACGATCTGAAAACACCCTGTCACCTACCCAGGCAAAGCAATGGAAGGCTCTTAATTCTCACCTCACGAAGTTTGGGATTGTTTTTTTTCCAGTGATCATATAAAAGCTGTTCAGCAATCTATGGAGAAAACACAGAACACCTGATGTCACTGTTCAAATACATTCATCTAGACAAAGCCAACAGAAGTCAGTGAGGTCATGACCTCCATTCAGCAATGTCAACACATCTGTCACTCAAGTCTGCTTTCCTTACACACACACACACACACACACACACACACACACACACACACACACACACACACACGCGCGCGTCTGGGGACAGGATATCAGAGCAGGATGGACCAAGAGCTAGCTAAGATCTGATGCTATGGCTGGCTCTCTTCTAGGAGTTTCCAAGCCCATAGCAAGTTGAAAAACACAGACTGAAGCTAGTTACCAGAACCACTTGAAGATAAAATACAGTGTTCCCAGACCTTTGTGGGACCGCAGAATTGAAGAGGGGAGGGAGGAATCACTTGTAGTGATTTGTGAGGCAGAGAAGAAGCTATCACAAACCAAACACTCCCTATAAAGGCACTTAAGAATGGGCCCTCGCTTTTTGTCTGCCCTCACTCTTGCTGGCAAACTCATCCACCCTGTTCTGTGGCCGGCATTAACTCCAACTTCTTACAGACAGAAAACCAGAAGTTAGCTAGGTACTGATAGCGCACACCTTTAATTCCAGCACTTGGGAAGCAGAGGCAGGTGGATATCTGAGTTTGAGGCCAGCCTGGTCTACAGAATAAGTTCCAGAATAGCCAGGGCTACATGTGGTAATACATTATTTATGATTTAATAAAGATTGTCTGTGGGTAGACAAAGTAAAGCCAGCCATTAGCTCTTAGCTCTACCTCAGGTTGAAAGGGCTGTCCTGTCTCCACGAACTCTTTACCAAGCCTCAGACTGCTGCCTCTCCTCAGTGTGGCTGGAGAATAAACCTCAGAATGCAGCCTGAGACATTGGGTCCCTGTCTTTTATAAACCTCTCCAGGGCTGGGATTAAAGGCATGTGATCCCAGGTGCTGGGACCAAAGGCGTGAGCTCTGTTATTCTTCACTCTTGTGTAGGCCAGGGTGGTCTTGAACTCAGAGAGATCTACCTGCCTGTCTCCTGAGTCCTGGGATTAAATGTATGTGCCACCACTGCTTGGGTTCTACAGCTAACAAGTATGGCTGGCTTTGTTTTCTGATACTTCAGGCAATCTTTATTAAATCATAAATGATAAATCACCATAGCTACACAGAGAAACCCTGTCTCAGAAAAAAAGAAAAAGAAAATCGGATGTTCTCCAGAAATCCTTCCAGACTCTAGCACCAGGCTGGGCATGCAGGACATCCAAACCTGTGGACTGCTGGATGCCTGGCCTGTCTGTTGTGAGACAGTCATTGTTGGACTACATGACTACATGCTCAAAGTGCCAACAAAGCATGGCTGTTCTCCCCACCTCCTGCAATCCAGAACATTCTACCATATCTGGTTCTGATTACTGCTATGAGCTGGATCTTAGCTATCCCCCAGGCTCACATTTTAAATGCTTGCCCTCGGCCAGGCAAGTTTCACCTTTCTTCCCAGCATGAGGAAGTTCAGAGGCAGCCAGATCGCTTCGACTTTGAGGCCAGGCTGGTCTACAAAGAAAGCTCCAGGCAAACCAGGACTACATGGTGAGAGCGGTTCAAAATAACAACAAAAATCCAACAGCAAAAATAATTGCTCCCCAACTGGTGGCACTATTCAGAGGAGCCGGGTGCCTTTAGGGGATGAGGAATTAACTGGCCATCTCATCTGACCAAGGCGCCCAAGAATAACCCCCAGATGCGGACACTCCCACTCTGCAACCTTCCCCGGGTCTAGGCTGGTTACCAGTTTCCTTCGTTCTTCTCGGGCTGACTTCAGATCCTTGTGCTGTTCCCGGATTGTTCTTTCCCGCAGGCTCATGCTCAGCGTCAGCTCTTGCAGCTCAGCGGCCAGCAGGTCCTGCTCCTCCAGCACAAGCTGCCTGAGTCTCTCACGGCGGGCCTCCAGACTCATCCTCTTCGCCTCCTTCATCTTCTCACGCTGGTAGGCGTGCATGCTAGGTAAGGAGCCCACTGTGCGTCAGTCACACCCAGGCCACAGTTCCACATGCATTTTTATGCACTTAAACACAAACACCTACAGAGAAGGCAACTGCTGGCATACATTTTATCTTTCCAAATGCACGTTACTTCACTGGTTATCCCCCCCCACACACACACACACCATTTCCAACTAGAATAGCACCACCATGTAGATTACTCATTGCTGTCACAAGCCATGGTCCCAAGGCCCTGAGGCCACATCCCCCGAGCAGCTAGTGGTAGGAACCAGCAGGCAGGGACTCACTGATACTTGCCTCCTTTGGTAGGAGGTCTTGGAGCTCCATTCCGCCTGTTTGGAGCTGTGGATGTCCGAAGTCTTGAAATAACGGCTGTTCTGCTCCCACTGCTGGCGAAGGTGGGCCTCCTGCTCTCGCTGGCGCTGACGTGCTAACTCTTGGTCCAGAGGTCTCCGGGTGTACCAATAAGAGGGCAGCGTGGGGAGCGCCATCTGAAGGGGACATCAGTGGGCAGAAACGAAGCCGGCTGCAAACCCAGGAACCCTGACTTGGATGCTCTCCTCTCTTTTACGAGGGTCGCTCGCCCTTTGGCTCCACCTTTATAACAGCTTTAGGACCCACATTCCCACCCTCGAACAACTGAACGACCAAAACTTTAGAACGAGGCCCAGGCCAGCATGTTTTAAATGATGTGCCACCAAGGCTGCAAATTATCAAATTAAATGAACCTGGCAGCGAGCCAGCCATTATCAGGGACGTTGCCGACACAGACATCGTCCTGACAAGGTCGGGTAAGCCATAAAATGCCAGGGGCGAGCAGGGCTCCGTGGCAGGCCCATGCAGCCCCAAGGACTTTGGAGGTCGAGGCAGCACGAGATCACTTGAGTCCAGGAGTTCAAAGCCAACGTGGGCAAAACAGGAAGCCCTGTCCCCAGAGCAACAAAAGTAACTAGAGACTATGACTTAGAGATTATCAGTGTGTGCAGAGCACCCGACATGCACCCGTCCGGTGTTCGGAGACCTCCGACCAGCGACGACAGAGGACGCCTCGGCCTAGCCTAGCCTCTGACTCGTGTCTCCCCGCACCCCAAGTTCTCCAAGAAGAGGCGCTGGCCTAAGCCCGAGCGCGCGCTCACCGGATTCCAGAGTCCCGCGGCGCCCGAGGCAGCGACGCCAGCCGTTTCCTCTTCGGTTGCCGGGCAGCCCGCGGAACTACGGAGGCCGCGAAGGCCAAGATACCCCCGGCGCGACGACGCCGCTCACCGGGAAAAGAAAGTGAAGGGGTTGTCCTTGCGCCCCCTCGCGGTAGGAGGGAAATAGACAGCAAGTGTCGCTAGTGCCAGAGTCATGACCCAGAGTCGGGGTGGTGGTCACTGGGGTGGAGATGGAAGCCAAGGAAATAGTTGAGAGGAGAATTAAGCCCATGTTTCTCAAACAGGGAGCATCAAAATAATCCAGGGAGACGCCCCGAGAGAAAAAGAAATGATTTTCAATGCTCCCGGGGTGTTGCCCATCGGCAGCGGAGGCCAATAACCGCTGATCTGGGTAATTACAAGTCTTTGGTAAATTTCTACTGTAGTCTTAGATTACTGCAGAGGTTTTAATAACTGTAGCTCACATGACTGCACGTATTTATGCGTTAACTATTCCCTTTTTTCAAAGCAGGGCTGGGGAACTCGGCGATTGTATGTGCTTAGCTCTGAACTCAAAATCCCCAGCACCCAGTACCCCCAAAATATTGTAAAAATAACAGACAAATATTCCATCACTCATTCTTTTTTTTCTTTAATTTTCCCACCCATTTTATTTTTTTCACACATTCCTTTGTTCCTCTGTTTCTCATGGAAGCCAAGGTGGTGTTGGGCCTCTACAACCAGGTTCAAACCTGCAGCATGCTAGATATGTCAATCCTGGTTGGTCACCTCACCCGCTGACCCTGGGGACCCCTAGGAGCAACCTTGTAAGAGACTAGAGGGAGGCTAACTAGAGGGTATGGAGTCAGAGGTCTATGTCCATCCCACCAGTACAAAGAGAGCATTCTTCGGCCTTCCTTCAGTTGTGAGATATTTACTCGTGGAATGCCGCCTCCATACATGAAGATCCCCATGGATGGCCTACACCCCTGCCCACCCCACCCCTGGCTGTGACCAAGCCAGAAAGGGCAGTGGAGCTCTGCAGCCTCTCTCCCCATTATTGGCATGTTCTGTGCTCTGTGAGATGAAAGTCCACCATGGATGATGCGGGTTAGGGTCAAGCACTGAGCCGGGCTGTGATTCTCACTGGAAGCTGGGGGGGGGTGGGAGGCAAAGGCTCCTGGCTCCCCTCTAGCTCCGGACATGGGGAGAAGAGGAACGAACACGTACAGTTCCTCCTCAGTGGTCAGGCTCCCTCTGAGCATAGCTCTGGAGACACCTCAGCTCTGTTCGTGTGGCCGCCGAGGTGATATGGGCCACCCTGCCTATGTCAGGGTTTTTTGTTTTTGTTTTTGTTTTGTTTTTGTTTTTGTTTTGTTTTTTTGGTTTTTACGAGACAGGGTTTCTCTGTATTGTTTCGGACGCTATCGGTCCAGCCCGGCCTCGAACTCGCAGAGATCCGCCTGCCTCTGCCTCCCGAGTGCTGGGATTAAAGGCGTGCCCTGCCACCACCGCTCGGCTATGTCAGGGTTTTTACTTTCGCCGTATCTGCTAAGGCCCTATGGCCACATATACAGTCACATGGTCACCAGCTCTGGGCATCAGGGGGAACATACCTCTGGAGGCCTCTATCCCGCTCACACGGAACTTCACTTTTAGTGACGGTCCCAGGGTTGTACGGATGTCTTCACTTGTCCGTGGCCCCTTGCTCTCCCTCCAACTGCCTGCAGAAACTGGCAGGAGGGACAGTACTCCCCCCCCCCAACACACATGGGCTTGCTGTGTCACAGCCCTGTCCCACACAGTCCTCCCTACGCAAGGGGCACTCCTGCAGACAGAAACCCCAACTGCCCTCCACGGCCTTCTTCAGATATGTGGCCAAGATACCCCAGCATCTGGTAAGCTCGTCAGAACTTGTTCTGACAGGCCTGCTTTGTGTGTACAAGAGGCCACATGTGGAATTCCATTCCAGAACCTTCAGGTAGCCCACCTGCTTCCTTCTGCTGGAGTACACTTGTCTGATGGAATGGCACTAGCAGTTTTTGCTGCCTTTATATCATCTTTAGAGGCCAGCTTGTTGTGGGAAAGGAGCCTATATGGACTTCCAAGAATGTCTTGGTGCTGAGCCAGGGTTTGCTGAGTATAAACTGTGGATAAAATGGTGCTGAGTGACTAATAGCTTTCTACACACATGGCCAGGGACATGCACGGTCAGCATGTGGTGTGTGACGATTGTCAGTTTATTGCATAGCACCTGCTAACGCCAGAAACTGGGGACTGACTTTGTTTTTCTTCCCTCGGTTTCCCTGCTCCAGCTGTGCCCTCTGGTTGATATACATCCCGATTCCTCCAAGCCAGCTACGGCACACCTCCACTCCTTGTGAATGTCAGGGATGGGTATGGGCTTGAGGCACAGTTCCATTCAGTGGCAAGTGGGGACATCTGCTGGGGAGATGGTGACACTGGGTTGTTATCCCACACGCAGGAAACCCACAGTACTGCTGTAGCTGTCATGTCACCAGCAAGAAAACACCCAGCATGAATACACCCAGCACTGCATTTACCAGAGTAAAATGAAGGGAGAAGTCAGTTCCTGATGACGATATCAAATACAGTAAACTTAAAAAGAAGCCTGACCACATAACTTAGGTCCTTTAAAAGAATTGTTCGGTTTTATTTTATGGAGTGCATGTCCGTGTGTGTATGGCAAATGCATGTGTGTGGTGTATGTACATCTGCTGTTTGCATCTGTGTGATCTATGTATGTGCATGGTATGCGTATCTGTTGTATATATGCATGTGTGATATATTTGTGCATGTGATATGTACATGTTTGGGTGGTATATGTATTGTGCTATATGCATCTGTATGTGTGATATATGCATAGTGTAGCATATGCATGAGTGTGGTATATGGATATGTGGCATATGTATCCATATGTGTGATATTTGCATCTGTTATGTATGAAATACATGTGTGTGGTGTATGTGTGGTGCTATGTGCTTCTCTGTCGGTGTGATATATGCATGTGTGTGTGCACTTGTATATGCAGGTGCTCTCTCCCATACATGTGCTTATGGAGGACAGAAGGCACCTATGCACGTGCCTTTCACTGTCTGAGATAAGAGCTCTCACTGAACCCGGAGCTCATCACTTTGAAGACTGTTGGACTAGAGAGACCCCGGGATCCACCTGTTGGGGTTACAGATGTATGCCACCACACTCAGCTTTATGTAGGCCCTGGGGACCTGAACATGGGTCCTCAGCCATTTCTGCCTGGCCCATTATTTTTTCTGAAATACGGTCTCACTCTAGCTCAGAATGGCCTGGAACTCACTGTGGAGCCAATTTGGGTCTTAAACTCAGGATGACCCTCCTGTTTCAACCTTCTGGGATGGTGAGTGTACGTCACATCTGGCTTTGAGATCCTGTTTTAGAAGATTAAAAAATATATTTCCTAGCCGGGCGGTGGTGGTGCATGTCTTTAATCCCAGCACTAGGGAGGCAGAGGCAGATGGATCTCTGTGAGTTTGGGATCAGCCTGGTCTATTGAGTGAGTTCCAGGACAGCCTCCAAAGCTACAGAGAAACCCTGTCTTGGAGGGAAAAAAAAGCTATCTCCATTTCCTGCTTAAGTCCTTTTCAGTCACTGGGAAGCGTTCTCATGGACAGACTTTCCTAGAACAGAATTATTCAAGGTGTGATTGTTTTATTTTTTATGATGGGGACAGACAAATGCTTCCATGTTAGCTTCACCTCTCAAATATCTCTAAGGCTGCGGCTTCGTGTCCTTAAACTCATTCACAACAAAGTTCTTGACTGACACCATTCCACCACCTGGGGAGCTGTGTGAGAGTTCATTTGTCTTGGCATCCTGGTGAGTGTAGACAACTTCCCCATATACCAGATTGTTTTCTTTTGGGCCACCAACCATCTCCCAAATCATGACACAGAGACTTATTATTATTTTTGAACACTCAGTCTACCTTAGGCTAATTTCTGGCTAGCTTTTTTTAACTTAAATTAATCTGTTTCTCTTTGTCTTCTGATTGCCTTGGGGCTTTTTACTTTTCTTTCCTTCTGTGTATCTTACTTACACTGCTTCTCATGCCTGCTGGCTGTCGACTGCCTGCTTGGCCGAGGGTGTGTGTGTGTCTCTCCTCGTTCTCTGTTTTCTTCCCTTCTCTCACTCTAGATTTCTCCCCCTATTTATTCTCTCTACCTGCCAACCCTGCCTATCCTTTCTTTGCCTAGCTATTGGCCATTCCGCTTTTTATTAGACCAATCAGGCTCTTAGGCAGGCAAGGTGAAATAGATGCATCACATTTTATATAATTAAACAGATGCAGCATAAACAAATGTAACACATTTTTACACAGTTAAATGTTCTGCAGCATAAGCAAATGTAACACATCTTTACACAGTTAAATGTTCTGCAGCATAAGCAAATGTAACACAACTTTACACAGTTAAATATTCTGCAGCATAAACAAATGTAACATATATCTGCCCTGAGACAGGTTTCAGCTGTCTGCCTTCCCCAGCTATTCAAGGTGGTCCAAGAGCTATCTGCCTTACTCAGCTACCTGGCCTCCTCCAATGGAGACCCAGGCTGATGGCCTCCTCCTGCCTGGACTGTACAGATATGCCTCGATGGCTTCCTCTCAGTCACAACATAATCCCTTGAACCTTACCTCAGCTTGCTCTACAACACCATTTAGAAAACCTTTGAGAAACCTGGTCTAGTTCTACCCTAGCTGCAGTGAGAGCACTGACTCTGTCACTCTGCTTCTGTCCCTGTCTTTCTCTGTCACCCTCTTTCACCTCTCACTGGTTGAACATGTACATCCAGAATGGCATTTGCATTGCCCGGAGGACATTTCCCCCTCTTTTGGGTGTTTTCTGTTTTTGAGTGTGTGTGTGTGTGTGTGTGTGTGTGTGTGTGTGTGTGTGTGTGTTTGGTTGTTTTTGTTGTTGTTGTTTGTTGGTTTGTGTCACCTGGGCTAGCCTTGAACTTGAGACTATGTCTCTGGTTCGAAAGTGCTGGGATTACAGACCTGTGCCACCATGTCTGGCTTCTGGGGCCTTTAACGAGAACTGCAATGTCTCTACCCC